GAAAGGTATTTGGTCATGTGTTTCTCAATAGTAAAGGAAAACACGCACGCATTTCTGTTTTCTTTCATTTGTCTTTTCTTCTCTGTACTTTGAAGACTTTGTCTTCACTTTTTGCTCCTACCAATTGATTATAATGATCATCGTTTACTTTGTGGATAGTTAAAGTGATGTGAGGACTATCATCATCAAGTCCAATACCAGAATGAATTCATGAATCTGCATGCTTGACCTGTTATAACGGAGTCTTGGCCTTCACTTTATTTGTTTTATTAATTCATTGTGAACTTTCGAGGGCATTACCACTGTCAGATATCATCGATCCTCATCGTTAGCCAAGAAATCCTTCTTTTCGAGGAAGTGAACATCTCATACCAATTTCAATTTATATTAAAGGTAACAATTTTGCCGACATGACGAATGGACGATGAAACTCACATTTCAAGGATGAAACAGTTTTGTGTACATGAATTTTATTAGGACTGTCATTTTGAATCGAAATACCGCATTTATCGACCATATGTTAACCGCATCCACACCTACCGCAAATTATGATTTTTAAAGTGGCCGTAATTTGCGATTGTCGATGCGGTTTTGTATTATATTTAAAATTTAAAATATATAATATACAATTCAAGAATAATAAAAAATTAAAAAAACTAGCCATTTGTTGGGCACGCCTTGCTTTTGCGCCAAGATCAAAGTCTGCTTTTTTCTTCTCCCCATCTCTCAGTCTTCTTGTCTTCCTCTCTCTGTCCTTTTTTTCCTACTTCTTCCTCTCTCCGTCGCTTTCCATCTCTCATCTCTCACTTTTTTCTCTTATTTTTCCTTCTTCTTCTTCTTCTTCTCTACCTCTCTCCCTTTCTTTTTTCTTCCTTCTTCCTTCTTCCTCTCTGTGTCTGTTTCCATCTCTTCTCTCCCTCTTTTGTTTTTTGAGGCCTAGTTAGGGTGGTGGATTTTCTGGGATTGCTTAGCTTGGATTGTTTAGGCCCAAAACGACCCAATCGGTGTATACCCGTGTTTTTTGCGGACACTCACCGATTTGCGGTTCCACCAAGTTGCGGTTAACTGCAACTCTTCGGCCGGTTTGCGGTTACATGAAATTATTCTATGGTCCAAGAAAATTGTGATCACCCACCATTATATTTAATCTAAGAATAGAGAAAAAAAAACTGATTTAAAAATTATGACGTCATTATCTTTTACTTTTATTGCATCATAACACTATTTTAGTTATTAAAAATAAATTAAAGAAAAACCCTAGAGATGAGAAACGAAAACAGCACCACCGCCTTCCGACGGAGATGAACTTGAAACTAAAGAAAGAAAAAAAAAGAGGCAGAACCCACCACCAGGAACTGCCTTCGATGAACCCTCCACCTTCTATTAGCAGACCAACCTTCCAAGGCTTTCTTCACCGAAAACCACCACCAGCACCAAGTCCCCTGCTCAATTTGAAAGTCATCGCACTTCCCATACTTCTCATTTGCCCTCTTCCATCACCATTTAGTCTTTACTCTGCCTCTCAAAGGCTGAGCCCAGTTTCTCTCACCAATGTCACCATCAGAGAGGCAAGTGTCATTTTTTTATTTGTATCAATGTATTATGTATGAGTAGTTGTATAATAATAAATTATTTTTTTAATGGTATTATTCATGATTAAGTGAGTTTTTATTATTATATAATTTTAATTTTAATTTTATATTTATATAACGAATATATAAGGGATAAGTTTACTATTGATCTAAAAAAATTGAGTTCACAATATTTATGAGTCAATCCGAACACGATATGATCACAAACGGGTTAGGTTAGTGTTGAGAGTCACTCAACTGGACTAATTAAATGTGTCCGGTGATGATCAATTATTTTTCAATACTAAATAGCACGACACAAACAATTGAGGGCGAAAATTTTCCGACTCTAACTAGCTAGCTATTAACATAAGGAATTAAAGAGGGTGTTGTAAGGGGAGCAATGTGCACGAAAACATCATGAAATTTGAGAAATGACATCTATTTGGATGAAATTTTAAGTTATAATTTATGACCTCCAAAGTCTATGCCGAGCCTCGGGCAAAATCATAAAATTTTGGGGTGCTGTTTCGAAATTTATCTTCACTGGGCCTCTTGCCTCACACAAATGAAAACTTTTGGGTCTCTGGTCTCAAAACTAAGTTCGTCAAATAGCCTCAAAAGTTTATCACACCTGGGCTAGCCTCCCTGGGCCAAAGAATACGAACATCGAAACTCAACCTACAGGCCCTCACATCATTCAGCCCAAATGAGCAAGGGTAAATTCGTTACTCTACACACACACTACAGAGCCTATATAAGCCACCTTATGTCACTTCACTCGCCTCCTCTGTTTGTTCAGCCACTAGGGTTTTTCTCCGTTCAAAATCTGCAACATTTACAGTGATAGCTCTAAATAGTTTTAGGTTTTTTTTTTTTGGTGTGGCTCAGAATCCGAACATGGAGTTCTGGATGCTGAGCTCAGTATCGATTTTGCTTCGTTTGTTTTAAAGCGCGGCCCTTAAGATCGCCTTCCTTAGCAACCATGGAAGCGTTTTGAGTCATAGCTGCGCAATAGCAAAACACCATTTAGGAGGGTTTCTTTAGGGTTTTCCTTCTGAACCTTCCTCATCTCCCACCTGGGTTTTTCTTCCTGAGGCATTGCTCTGTTTCCATTTGGGTCCTGGAGCTCATTTTCTCATTTTCTGAAACAAAATGGCAAATAGCTTCAATGCTAGTTGCTCATGGGTGTTTCAGTCAATGGGGAGCTTCAGGCCCATTGGAAACTATTCCTTGTAAATGTCTCAGTCTTGGGTGGGTAACATTCTTATCCCATTTTTTGTGTATAGTTTTTTAAATAAATTGATGTAAGTCGGGAATGAGCTTGGCAAGAATGATGATTCAATTAGATGTGTGAAAAAGGGAAATCCTTTTTTATGAACTCAACTATTTGAGGCATTTGGATTTGTCTGACTTGCCTGCCATCATTTTCAATCATGTTAGCTTCTTTCTAAGTTGTATCAATGTGTAGATGCACACTTACATTTCAACTGAAAATTATCATAACCTCTCCTGTTTCATTGAGTTCTTTTACTCCAATGGATTTTGTATCCCAATTTCAGAGCTTATGATTTAGTTCCTTTCTGCCTTTTGGATAATTCCGCTTTCCATGTCTTGAGAACACCCTTTTTGTGTGTTTAATGGTTGTTGCCTATGTTGAAATTGTCTTGTACAACTTGTTCTTGGACATATTGGTTGTTTAGGCTCTCTGTGGTTGCTAAAAAAAATTCCATCGCAAATATTTTGTGAATCTCATATGATGTCCCTGTCTATTTTTGAATGTTACGTTGAACTTTTATTTAATATGTGTTATTGAAGGAGCATTTTGGTGTCAAGTAGTGATCTTTACTGGAAATTGTCTCTTAGTATGCTCGAAGGGGTTAAGATCAAGGCATGTCTCTGTTGTCATTTGATGCATGTGTTATTAAAATGTTGTCCATTGTGATTTATGTTTCCTTCATTTTTAAGCAAGATTCGTTTTCACTGTAATTTTATTTTGATTTCTGTGATATGATATGTGATGACTTGTATGATTGCTAAAAACAAGTTTAGTCCATAATTGTTTTTATTTTGAAGCTAAAGAGACGGAATTTTTCAACTTTTTTTAATAAGTGGGTGGAAATGGACATTGGCAAGAGTGATGATTCAATTAGATGTGTGAAAAAGGGAGATCCTTTTTTATGAACTCAATTATTTGAGGCATTTGGATTTGTCTGACTTGCCTGCCATAGTTATCTATATTCATCATTTCCGAATTTAGTCCCTTGGGATGTATGTTTGCCTATGTGCAATACCGGACCACGAATTAGCATAACTTTTCTTGCTTTATTGGTTCTTTTTAGGTCAAATTTTGAAGTGGGATTTGCTCGCAGAATTTCAAAATGGTTGGTTGATTTCCTTTCTGCTTTATGTATAATGGTGCACGATTTGAGAATGCCCTTTTTCGTGTTTCGTGATTCTTACCCATGTTGAAATTTCCTTGATTGATACCTTACTTGGAATGTATGTAGCCCTCTCTTGTGGTAACTGCTTGCTTTTCATCAACATGGTTGGTGAGGTGGTCATCTTTTTGTGCAGAAATGATGCGTTGCAGATCAGAGTCAAGTACACTTGTTAAGTTTTGGTGGTGCCACAATTGCTCTAAAGAGGCAAAACAAACAGCTGGTACTCCTTTGGCACTTGAGGGAGCTTCTACTTAGGTTTGAAGCTTCTCAATCAGCATGAGAGGAGACTCATTGTTGTAAAGCTTGTGTGGCTAATGCCAGTCACACCCAGCCAAACCTTTGTAACAACGCGAATCTTTTTGGTTTTCACAAAGCTATGCTCCACCTACTCTAATGTACGGGGAGGAAAATTGAATTCTAATGTACGGGGAGCGAAATCTAGGAAAATTGCAAAGGATGCCTTGACTAACCGGCATAACTCCTGTATGCTTGTAACTATGTCTTTGAGATGGAACAATGTAAAACTTATGTTGATGAAACAATGTAAACTTATGTCGAGTCTTGTCTGGTGGATGTAAACTCCTGTCGACTTGGGCAGTTTGTTGTGTAGTTTTCTCAAGTGGGTTTTAGATTCAGTCATTCAGTGAAAATGTAGAATGAGATTGAAACAAACAATTGTGTTGAATGAGTTTCTTGAATTCATGTCAATTGGTGATTGTGAAACTACAAATTCCCACCAGTGATTAAAAGTGATAGTTTTGATCTTCATTATCCAGACATTAATTCTTGTAAAGCAAACAGAGGAATTATTAGAAACATGAGCAAGAAGCAGACAGACATGGAACTTTACTTGGCTATCCAGAATCAGCAAATCAAAAACAACAATGGGGGCACTAAACAAAAACTACCCCCAATTTCTTGGCGCATTAATAATAAAAGCCACCAGAATTCTTGATCAACCAACAAAAACACAAAGCTTGAAATCTCAATCAAGAAACCCAGTCTTGCGCCAAATGGCATTCCTGACCTGACGCAAGTCCCTACCTTTGAGCGTCCTCCCCACGCCTTCCAGCACCGAGAACGTGGTCCTCGCCGACAGCCCCGACCCCCTCGCCACCAGCTCGTGCGGCGGCAGCATCTCGTCGTCTCCGTCGTCATCATCGTCTACGACATCAGCCAGGTCGTCGTTTCTCCGATGCTTCTCCACCGCCCTGGACAGCATGGGAACCTTCATCGGAGCCGAGCTCTGGAACTTTCTCGAAGTCGGCACGGACTGAGACTGCGACTGCGACTGAGACTGAGACTGAGAAAATCTCGGGATTGAAGGTATGGGCTTCGACGACGATGATGAAGAGAGCGCGGGCTTCCGGTACAGGACCGGAGCCGGGAGACCTGGCTCCGGGAGGACCGCGAGTATACCGGAGTTGACCCGGCGCATCAGACTGACCCGGGGGTTCTGCGCGTCGCTGGGCTCGGTGAAGTCGGTGGTCCAGAAGACCTCGGCCTCGTTGAGCTCCTCGCCGGCGGCGGCGGAGGAAGGCGGTGAGAATGAGAAGAAGCCGAGGAAGCGATCTGACGACGGTGATCGTTGGTGGCAGAAGCTGGTTGAATCCATTGTTTGTGGATTTCCCTTTCTTTCTTTTTTTGGATAGAGAGGAAAGAAAAAGGAAGAGACTTTTGGTTTTGATGTGGCGGACAGACGCAGAGTGTGGTGGGTGAGGCAAAATAAGAAGAGCAGAGAAAGAGAAGGAAAGTGGGAGGCACCTGAAATTGTTGGAGTGGAGTGGGACCCACGTGGGGGAGTTGCTTTCGGAAAGGACGTGTGGGCGTTAGTTTTGGTTGGGGGTTTGGATTTTAGTTTTTAGTCTTTTTTTTTGGCGGGTCCCGCAGGCCTTAACGAAGTCGCATCCGAGTCCAATTTTTTCTCCCTAATGGAAAAAATGGATGTTAATGTGCCGTGTAATCTAAGGAAATTAGCGTAGAGTTGGAATTACTACTATAGATATAGACTAGTGATGGTGTGCACGATCGGGTTGGTTTAAATCTGGATTAACTAAATCCAAATCTTTTGGTGAAATCATAATCCTACTACATTTCAGCCTAATCAAATTAAACATGATCCAATCTAAGATTGTTTTTAGAACGCTTGGGCCTAGTAAAATTATACATAATCTAATCTAGATAGTTTTAGGCCACTAGACAATTAAGCAGGATTATGAATCATATCCATCTATATAATCGGCCTATTAATGTAAGGATTTTACATGTATTGAATGTGTAAAATGAAATATAATACGAAATGACTATAATAAATATCAACATTCCAACGGTTAGACAATAAAATTAATATAAACAATTTCATCAGTTTTAGGTGTTTTTTTAAAGAGAAAGGAGATATATTGAATTTATAATTTAAGTCTCACAAAGATCAATATTATTACAAACAACCACATAATTTTAATACAAATACGGATGCACAATAATCACAAGGAGGCGAATCCAAATACAGATTAGTCCATCAATGTGCACTTCCACTCATAGCCACACATGACCAAATAAATTATGGTAAAAAGGTGGCAAGTGTAGAAAAGAACTAGATACATAAAAATACAAACACGGGACAAACTCATAAAGAGTTTATGCACTTATTACAACTCAAAAAATTACAACACAAAAAAGTAAATAAAGACCAATCTACCACCATGTCGTCTTCAAGTTCATTTTTTTTTTCTTTGAGACACTATATGATATTTTTACAACAAACCAATACATATATAATAAAACTACACCATAACTAGGTATCGAACTCATCACAATATATATAGCGTTTTCTTCATTTATGTAAGTTGAACGTGAAATCTACTCCAATTAATAAGAGACAAATACCACTAAATCAAAGGTTCATTTTTGCAGTTTGATTTGGTAGAAAATGTTTGTTGCTTCTAGCTTAATTATAAATCAAAGTGACGAAACTTGAGAAAATAGGTTCTTACCAATATTCAACACAGAGGCCAAAAGAAAAGGTAAAATAAAAAACACTAAAATATACAACAATACTTCATTCTAAATCACCAAGGAAAAAAAAATACAATACTTTGGTCTTACTCGCTTACGTACCAAGATATCCCAAGTTATTTCCTTCCTGGTGTCGACCGATGGAACACCGGAACAGAGCACTGCGCACACCCCGCGCATTTTAGAAACATACACCTGTCTTCAATCGCAGCTACAGTTCCAGAGTTCCACCCTTTCGCTCTGTTTGATTCTCCGATTGAAATCTCGCAGAGGCTCGTCTCGTTCCATCTTCTTCATTGACTCCTCCTCCCCAAAACCCGCGATGCTGACCACGGTAATTACAAATTTGCCCCTTCTCGCTTTCCTCTTCTTCTATCCCCAAATTGTACATTTGGGTCTTAATTTTGTTGATTTGTTTCCTAATTTGGATTTTCCACTTGGCTTCTTCTTGATTGTGTGGTATGGAGCAGCAGAGAAGTGTATCGGGGTCGTCGCAGAGCCCTAGATCTCCATCCTCGCAGCCGTACCTGTCAGTCTCAGTGACTGATCCTGTGAAATTGGGCAATGGCGTCCAGGCCTATATCTCCTATCGTGTAATCACCAAGGTATTCCGGGATTTTCATTTTCTATTTGTGCTATTAGTCGTAGACTTAATTTGAACAGGGTTAGGGTTTATTGCAGGATGTGTTTCTGTGAGTGGGTTCATTGCGTAATTAACAGTAGCTGCATGGTTGATTGATAGCTCACAGTTAGGGCTGACAAAAGTTCACAACTTGTGATATAGGGAAATGGGTTGATGAGATTGTTGAAGAAAATTACGAATGATCAATTCAGTTAATGCTAGATTAGGTCTTAAAATAGCAAGTAGGAAAATGGGATACCCGGGCATGGGAGAAAGAAATTAAGAATTTGTATCTACATGATCATACAATATGCACTGAAACTTGAAAACTATTCAAGCTTTATGTGCCATAGCATTTCCTTGCTAACTAAGATGAAACAAGCTAACAAGAATCTGGATAATGGTTTTGTACGTATGTTTTGGCAGAAGACTTGGGTCTAGTGTTGGTTTATTAATGATGGAAAGATTGATTATTGATTGGATTGGGGACAATGTTGCATTAATCAGTTATTCTTGTTATCAAATGCGTGCAAATGAACTATGTTTTTATTATGGATCTTTTGAGGTTGAGCATGCTGTGAATAACATGCTTGGTGACTTGGGCTGAGCTTGCAATCTCTAAGCGGGCTCTTTAAATCTTATTTTTGTGACTATTGTTGATGCAATCTTATAGGCTTGATTATATTCTTGAGTTTTGACATCTCTGTTATGTTTGTATTACTTTTTGAATGAATACTTTTGCTTTGGCAGACAAATTTTCCCGAGTACCAAGGGCCGGAGAAGATTGTTATTAGACGGTACAGTGATTTTGTTTGGCTACGTGACCGTATTTTTGAAAAATACAAAGGAGTTTTTATTCCTCCTCTCCCTGAAAAGAGTGCTGTAGGTAACAACATCGCTTTACCCACTTTCTTAAGATTCCTTGGTGTACTAAGTAGAAAATGCCACATTTACATTTCCGTGAGCATAATTGTTTTCTGCCACTAAATTATTTTGCTTGCATCATCATGATACAGCTTGACATACGTAGTTGGATAAAACTTGGTTAGTGTTTGAAATTGCCAGTCAAGGCATTGTGGTAGTGCGTAGGTGGTTAGCCCACCCTGTGGGAATTTTTGTTTGTAGGTTTGTAACCAGTGAAATGCTTGGAGTGTTTAGGCACCTAAAAAGGTTACCCTTTTTCACTCTTTTACACAAATCTGTTTATTGTGTATTCTAAAGAAGGGCTTAGAGGCAAGAAGTTGAATTCCAGCAGGACACTTCTGCCCAATCCTATTGCATGCAAGGTGCTTTGTGCATTTTTCTTGTTGGCTACATGAACATATTATTTTGGGTATATGTAAGGATCATGCATTGATGGTTTTCCTAGTCTTTGTAAAATGTGATTAATGAAGTTTTAGTAAGATTATGTTGGAATCACTCTAAATATAACAGGACTAACTTCAGTCTTTCTAATGCAGAAAAGTTCCGTTTCAGTGCTGAATTCATTGAGATGAGGCGTCAAGCATTGGATGTATTTGTTAATCGAATAGCTTCACATCATGAGCTTCAGCAAAGTGAGGATCTGAGAACCTTCTTGCAGGCAGATGAAGAGGTGATGTTTCTAAACTGATGCCTTGAGTTACACAGTTCACTACCATGAAAGTCAATAGGTCACCTGTGTTGGACATCTGAAAAATAGCTGAACTGATTCTTTGTTGTGCACACACAAACACATACCTCTAATAAGAATTTATATTGAATAATGTGCAAAGGCTTCAGAATATTTGACATGTTTCTGTAACTTGTTCAGACAATGGAGAGATTAAGGTTTCATGAGACTGGTATCTTTAAGAAGAAGCCAGCAGATTTGATGCAAATCTTCAAGGTAACATAGACTCTGCACAATGTTCCGAATATGAAAAGTTCGCATGAGCTATTCATTAAAAAAAGAAAAGCATTTTATGAGCTATTAAGGAACATTCTGTAACTTCTTCTTATTTTGCATAATTTTGCATAATTCTCTTGCAGGTACTTCTCATTTTCAATAATTTAGACAAGTAACCTGTAATGGGCACATTGTAAGGTTAATTTTCTGATTCAAGTACAGAAAATCTGTAGAAAATTGTCACTGTCATATTTATGACCTATGTTATAGACATTGTGTAGCCAAATAGAAAAACAGAACATTTATCTGTTGTGGAATATTTGAAGAAGAGATCTCCTCGCAACCTCTGTCTTGAATGCAACATAACACTTTAGCCATCTGAGAGCATTATTTGGATTCTGTAAAGTCAGTTCTGCTGGATGATAAATCCAATTCTTTCAAATTCTTTCAATTTTTAAATTTTTAAAAGTTTGCTAAGTCTGTTGTCAAGTGAATCAAAAGGAGCAGTCCTTTATCCACTGCACAATTCATTCCTTGTGCATTTATGATCTCTATTGGACTGAATAGGCCACTTAAACTAGTACAATTTCCTTTTGGAGTGATTATCTGATTGAGCAATAACAGCACCTGCATGTTTGACAGGATGTACAGTCTAAAGTGAGCGATGTTGTTCTTGGAAAGGAAAAGCCAGTGGAAGAGTCAAATCCAGAATATGAGAAGTTGAAACACTACATCTTTGAGCTTGAAAACCACTTGGCTGAAGCCCAGAAGCATGCATACCGTCTTGTAAAGAGGCACAGAGGTAATAATGATGAAGGCTTAACTTTATAGTAGTTATTATTTCTGTATCAGGTGCTCACTTCTTTATTCTTAATTAGTACGTGTGTATAGGATAAAATTTGATTGTTTTTAACTATATTTATGCAGAGCTTGGACAGTCTCTCTCAGATTTCGGGAAAGCAGCCAAGCTCCTTGGAGCTTGTGAAGGTAATGCTCTTGGAAAGGCTTTCACCGAGCTTGGGGCAAAGTCAGAGGTATTATCAATCAGACTGCAAAAGGAGGTAGGCTTCAATTGAGAACGCAGCATAAATTAGTGTTCCAGTGTGTACATTTTGTTGAGGTTGCCTCTCTGTGTACATGCCTGGTGTTGACTTTTGTTGTGCATTTTATTTTATTTAAGAGCTTATCATGTTATATTGTAGTATTACTGTTCTTGTATTTCTTTGTAGGCTCACCAACTCTTAATGAATTTTGAAGAACCCTTGAAAGATTATGTTCGCGCTGTGCAATCTATTAAGGTGAGTGCAGTTTGACTTGTTAATGTTTTCAGAATATATCATCTCTCATTGCATTTTTTTTCTTTCCCCATTAGATAGTACTGTAGGTGTATGGTTAAGCTTAAATTTTGATCCTCAATATTTGTTCCTGTAGGAAAATCTAATTCATGGTTACAAATTATTGGTAGAATTTTATTCCTGTCCATTCGGCACTATACTTGTAGAATTTATTCCCTCCCATTCCGGATAATCTTTATATGTCATAAAAGCTGATCCTGGAAAAGTTAAGAAGTGGCTATGAATTATTTGTAGAAATTTTTATTTCCCAACCTATTTTGGCCTTCTGGATAATCTTCATTTGTCATAGAAGCCACTGATCCTTCTGCTTTTGTGTGTTGAAACAGGCCACGATAGCTGAGAGAGCAAATGCCTTCAGGCAACAGTGTGAACTTGCTGAAACAATTAAGTTGAAGGAGATAAATCTGTATGCATCTAGCCAACTATTGTGTTTCTCTGCTTGTCTGAATATGCTGTTAGGCTGGCCACTTGTAAATCGAAAGCATAGACAAGTAGCCAGTATTAAAATGGTTGGCCTCTTCTAGTTTTTCAGTAAACAAAGAAATGATTAAGAATTAAAAATTGCAAAAAAATTGTAGATGACAACCAATTGATTCAACTAGAATTGGATTTCACTCACCATGTTGATTTAGACGTCATGGTGCTCTTTCTTTTCTGTAACTGTTTGTTGGTCTGATGATTGGTTTAATCCCTTTTTGTCAATTGGTTTGCAGTGAAAAACTCATGCTCACGCGATCAGACAGGGTTGGAGAAGCTGAGCACGAGTACAAGGAGGCAAGTCAGCTGATGCAATAGTATATGGTGTACACATTAGGGATCTTCATTATTTGACTAAAATTGGTTTTGTGATGCAGTTGAAGGCAGAGGGTGAGGAGGCGAATAGAAGATTTGAAACAATGGTGCGACTGATGAACGAAGAGATTGTCCGTTTTCAGGAACAAAAAACAACAGACATGGGGATCGCTTTCCACGAATTTGCCAAAGGACAGGCGCGCCTGGCAAATAGTATTGCAGATGCTTGGCGAAGTCTCCTCCCCAAGCTCGAAACTTGTTCCTCTGCATAGCTAATGAATTTAAAACCAGAGCAGTATACTTCACTTGGTTCGTAGAGATGGCAGGGCAGCTCTTGCTTTGTAAAAACTGTCGACCTTCAGGAGTTTCTTCTGCTATTCTGGTGTTGTACGAGTTGTGCTTTACAAATTTGTTTAAATCCATTTTAACTTATTACCTGTACAAATTCAGAGCTAATTGAAAAGCTTCACTATCTGCTTTGTCATTTGCAGAGCAAACCACAAATAGATTTTCATGTGCACCTCACACATTGGACTTATTTTCACATTTTGAAATGTTGAATTCTCCCTGAGTTGACCATTGAAATTGAAATCTCGGTACTTAGGGCGTGTTTGAGGATCTTTTAAAAGAAAAATCTATTATGTGGGAAGTATTTTATTTTTCAATTAAATATTGTGTGTTTTTTCCACGATAATCTAAACAACTCTAAATTAATATAATCTACAGACCTATCTCAAATGTAGAAATGCAAGGTGTCATGTATCAAATCACTGTTAACGTCAATTGTAGATACATGGGCTATTTTTTTTACCATTAATGGAGTGCGGGCTATACATAAATCAATGGTAAAAAATTCCTCCCTTGCGTCGTACATAAATTAATAAAATGGTAATTGAAATATAAAGATATGTTAAAGATTCGATTAATAATACTATAAAAAAAAAAAAAAAAAAAAAAAAAAAAAAAAAAAAAAAAAAAAAAAAAAAAAAAAACAAAAAAAAAAAGGAAAAATAAAATGTGATGTGGAGGGTGGGGTACGTGGTAGTTTGCTGACGTGGCATGAACTGATTGGAAAATGTATGAAGCGCTTCTCGCCAACCATTCCCTTCCCGCCTCGTAAAAGAAGGTGAAAAGAAAGCAAAGCAGCATATCCTGTAAAATTCCTCCTCCTTCCTCGTTTCTTCCTCCTATCCCACCTCTGAATTCTAACAAAAAAAACTCTTCGTTTACTTAGCTTCAGTTCAGCTAGCCATGGCCAATGCTGTCACTATGGGAGCGAGGTCACTCCCCTTCCACTCCGCACGTGTCAATTCCCACGTGCCATTCTCTCCCCCTCTCTCACTGGCAGCTTCCACCACCACCAGCAGCCACGGCTTCTTCCCCAAGCTTAATTTACACTCCGGCCACTGCCACCGCCCAAATCAAACGACACTGGCCAGGGCGTCGTATGAGGAAAGAAACAGCCTCGTCCCTTCCGACGACGCTGAAGATGGCGTCTTGCTTGGGACCATGAAATTGCCCTCGGATACCGACGTTCCCAGATTCCAGATCTTGCTCTTCCAGGTACTATTTGTATTATGTACTTATTATTTAAAGCGTATACTCTAACATCAAAGCTGGAATAGCTCAGCTGGTTAGAGCGTGTGGCTGTTAACCACAAGGTCGGAGGTTCGAACCCTCCTTCTAGCGCTTTTTTATTTCATATTTTTGTTGAAAGTAAAATATGCTGTGTTTTGTTTGACAGTGGGCTAATAGTCTCGCCCAAGGAGCTAACTTGCCTCTCCCTTCTCCTTTAAAGGTACACATTACTCAACAATTCAGTTCTTTTCTTTCATTTTCATTTTAAATTTATGGTCTCTTAGCTATGTTGTAACACCCTAGACTGTGATAGCTTGTTGAGTCCAACGTCGGTGAACTACTGGGTCAATCTGAGTCTAATTATTGAGTAATCCTTTTGGGGTATGTCGCGGAGGTGGCATGCGCTTCTTTGGGATGTGACATATGTTGGGTGACATGGGTGTTTGCATTAATATTTTTGTTGCTAATTGCATGGACACATTAGACAACACAAACATGTGGTACATGTATTATGACAATAGCATTGAGGCCTGTAGTGACATCTATCTATCTCAGCCTCCTTGCAAAGTGTAATGGATTGAATAATCTTGTGCGCATTGCAATGGAACAGGTGGACAAAATTGCAGGTGGGACTAGATTGGGTTTTATTACGATTGGGGACGGGGAGACTGAGGTCCTTGTGTACATAGATTGCTTGGTTTTTCCAGCAGATGCTGATTCTGGGCCGATTTTCCGAGCTGTGAGAAATGGACGCTTGAAGGATAAGACGCCTCCTGGTGAGCCAAGAATCATGAGAAGTCTTATGCAGGCTCTTCAGAAGTCGGTTGAAATCGCTAGAGTGTAAAGAAGTTTGCTGTATGTTTGTGATTATATGCGCTTTCTTATGTAATGCAAATATTTGTTTTTTTCTTAAGTCCAAATAAATTTGGTCTCAGTGAAAGTTTGGTTTCAGCAAACAGATCATAGTTCTTGTTGTTTGTACATTTTTATGCTGTCGTGACCGAAGTCGGTTGAAATCGCTAGAGTGTAAACAAGTTTGCCATATATTTGTGATTATATGCGCTTTCTTATGTAATGCAAATATTTGTACTTTTCTTAAGTCCGAATAAATTTGGTCTTAGTGAAAGTTTGGTTTCAGCAAACAGATCATAGTTCTTGTTGTTTGTACATTTTTATGCTGTCGTGACCGAATGTGCGAACATGTTTGTGAACTCCAAGCAACCCTCTTAAGTTTTAACAACCGTGTCTGCTTCTGCAACATTCAATGCAAAAAAGGACTGGGATTGTCCAGAAACACCATTAAGGTGCTTTTTAACATGCAGACACAACACTAAACTACATTATATTGTTGAGCTCTGATTTTATATTGTTCTGATTTATGTCCTTTGTGCTGCTAGACTACATTATATTTGCTGTTTCTTGGATGTTATATGATTGACAGGCCAAGGCATTGGGATGATATTGTCTAGGAGCTTATTACTAGGTAATCATTCTCTCAACTTTGTCTTAACTAAACCCATTGGTTTCTTCAAAGCTAAAAAAAAAAGGAAGTTGTAATCTTCAAAGCTAAAAAAAAGGGAAGTTGAAGTTACTATTACACCTATTAAAAAAGGGCACTAAGAAACAAAATTTTATATCCAGTACTTTCCATGTTGGCAATATACTCAGCTATAAGGTATCTTGAATCTGAGACTGAATCTCTCAGACTGTCGTTTGGTACTCCATTACTTCCCCTTAACCCTTTGTAAGATTTTGATCGTAAATAAGAAATTTCCCTGACTTCTTGATTTGAGACTTAAAAGAAAATGGAGAAACAAGCAACAACAGAAGGATTTTTTGATGATGGACACGAAGATGGTTACGACGCTGTTGTTGTGGGGTCTGGCTATGGTGGTTCTATTGCTGCTTGTCGGTTGTCTATGGCAGGCGTAAAGGTATGTCTAATTGAGAAAGGCCGGAGATGGGAATCTAAGGACTTTCCAACTGACAGCTCCAAAATCTTGTCTGCTACGAGGATGGAGAACCAGAACCTAGGAATTAGCTTTGGACGAAAAGATGCTTTGTTCCAGGTTATTCTCTCTTCCTCTGTTTCTTTTTCATGCTGTTATCTCATTGTGTTAGAGAGTGCAGCTCGGGCAATATCTCCACGCTATATTGTCCTTCCTTTTTTCAATTTAAATCCCACTAGTCATGGGGTCTTTATTTCCTTTAATTTCTGATGTTACTTGCTTACTATTGTGTATATACAGATGTTTTACTACAACTTAGAAACATATACAGTTTTCCCAAAACCTTGCGCCTTGCAACTCATATATTAAACGTAAATACAACGTGACTATAGTGTTTTGTTTTGGGATTTGGGAGCTGTCAAACACCATGAACAAACTCATATTCAGTGATTACTGGATCTTATAAGGGAATAATATCGCCAGACATTTTGAGTGGATTTTTTAAAATCAATTTATATGACCTTAGGCAGGTCATCTGGAAAAGATTCTAACTCTGTCGCATGGAAGTTAAAACCTATGTGATTACTTAAAATGCATCTATTATGATGGAAGTGTAGGTATATGAACAAAATGATTCTCTAGCAGCAGTTGCCTGTGGGCTTGGTGGAGGTTCACTAGTGAATGCAGGAGTTATGGTTCCAACACCAGTTCGTGCGAGACGGCATCCAAAGTGGCCAAAGGAATGGGAAAGAAATTGGGATAGCTGTGAAGCTTCTGCTGCAGCCATGCTGAAAGCACAGAGTATTCCTGTCAAATTTCCTATTGCGAAAGTTATGGAAGAAGTTTCTAATGGAGAGATTGGAGAAACTTTTGATACTTCAGTGAAGCTAAGTGTGAATTTTGACCCTGAAGAACCTCTAGCCGATGCAATGGGTACCTGCTTAGCCTGTGGAAACTGTCTTTCTGGATGTCCTTATAATGCCAAAAGTTCTACCGATAAAAATTATCTACGTTCCGCAATCCAGGCATGCCTTATGTTATACTATATATGTGGAGAAAATAATAATATCCATTAGGATGTAAGAGACGTTTTTGTTTAAGTTTTAAGGTCACCCTCTCCACTAAAACCAGTGTTTCTTGTGAAGCAGGCAGGATGCGTTGTTAAAACAGAATGTCAAGTGCAGTATGTGGTTAGAAACCTGCATGAAAGCTTACAATATGAAGGAAAAGTTGGAAGAAAAAATAGAAGATGGCTTGTTTACTTCAATGAGATTGATTCTATCACCTCTGATTTCGTAATCCTATCAGGTAAGAAACAGTCAAAGTAGGTATCTTCTGGAAATTTTGATCACAGAGATTCTAACAATTTCTAGACTTGGTTTTATCAGCTGGAGTTTTTGGCACAACTAAGATACTCTTCCAGTCACAAATGAGAGGACTAAAACTTTCAGAAGCACTCGGATCTGGATTCAGCTGTAATGGGAATACCGTGGCTTATCTTGCTGGGAGCCCAGCACCACTGAATGGCTACGGATTAGACAGAAAGAAAGTGTTTAAGATGCCATTTCAAGAAAGGCCAGGGCCATCCATCTCTTCATCTTACACTTCTTCACTGGGTTTTACAATCCAGGTTCAGAGACTTCTTTACACTTAATTGACTTTAGTTTTTTTAATTCATTGCAATTTATGGCTTGGTTCCAATTACTTTTAATTTGCAATGGAAATCAACGTTGTATCATATAATTATCTGGTGGGAAAATCTAGATTGAGTTTACATGGCTTTCCAGATACGGCCAAAATTTCTGTGGTGTTGGAGTTAGTCATAGTTAACCTCACAACTTAGTACAGCTGGTGTGATTGTGATGTACCATAATACATACCCCGCTGACAGCCTTAAAGTCGAGGTGCTTGATATGGTCAAGAATGAAGATAATTATTAAGTAGCTGCTGATCTGGTTTTTGCACAAAAACGAGTGAATTATTATATATATGAACTATGAATTATGCATGCATATATAAATATTAATCTGAACTTCTGCAAATGAAAATGCTCTTTTGTAAGATGGATACAACCACCTCTTATGTAGTTTCCTCTGTCAGAGTGCTGTGCTTCCTACAGCTTATCCGTACCTGCTGTTTAAAGGAATTACAACATATGGATGGCCTGCTGGATACTGGTTCTTTCATGGGATTATAGACAAGATAAAACATATCATGGGTTTCAAAGCAAGCCAAGCAATGGTTCTTATAGGATTAGGATATGATGAAAGTGATGGTAAGATCATGTTAGAAAGGGGCACAAACAAAATCCGCTTTATCCCAGCTCATGATCTCCTTCTCCCTCGAAAAATTAAAGCTTTTCAAAAGATCACTAAGAAATTAGGAGGAATTCTCTTTATGTCAAAATATCGAAGCACATCGGTTCATCTTTTAGGCGGGTGCAATGCATCATCAGAGCCTTCACATGGTGTTTGCAACCCCAGTGGGCAGGTTTTTGACGCAGAGGATTCGACCACAGTACATCCAGGCCTCTATGTGTGCGATGCTTCTTTGATCCCATGTTCTGTTGGAATAAATCCATCTCTTACTATTGCCACTGTAGCTGAGCACATAAGTAAGCAACTTGTGCAGGATGTTCTCAAGAACAAGAGGAGAAAAGGGCTTGAATGTGTTCTCAAAACTGCTAACCAAGGTCCATATTCCTTCACTGCTAAGACTATAATTACTGGTCAGAGATCAGAGGTCTTGATTAAAGAAACCATGAGAGGTTATGTTGGGGGTATGCCCTGCACAGCTTATCTCAGAATGAAGATGAACACTGGGGACCACTCTGATGAACAGAAGTCTGGCACTGGAGAATCCCATCCTCTTCTAAGAGGGAAAGTGGGAGGGCATGTGGAATTTAGAGCCTTTGAGAAGGATGAATTACACGTCATAGATGGGGGCGTAAATTTGTGTGAAGTAGATTGCAGAACTCCTTACACACACTATATGCATTATAATCTTCTTCTTGGGGCTTCTACTGGTTCAAGGTATATGAAACTTGAAAATTTGATAGCTTTTCATTTGTTTTCTTTTGTCACAATTAAAACATTACCAATATTGGTGCAGGTATATTCTTGAGGGAAGAAAGATAATGAATCCTTATCTCTTTGGCTTATATGCTTGGAGGGAGATGACAACACTGCATGTGACATTTGTAAAAGTTGCAGAGAAAAACTCAAGGAATGAGAAGGTGATTTTGAAAGGGGAGCTTGGTATTTCCATGAAGGAGCTTCTTAAGAGCTTCATAAGCCTTGAAGGAAACAAGAAGGGAAGGTTCATATGCCTCCTCTCAGGGGCTCTCTTAAGAACCTATATATTGCAGATACCTCGAGGGAATCCCGAGGATTTAAATCTGTCCTACTGTCTACATAAATCTTATCCAAGTGGTACTCTCCATGAAATAAAAACAGGTAGCAAAAAGTTGAGTTCATTGTTTACAGGCCTGTAAATTCAAACCTATTTATAACTTAATATGTTGCCATTCAAGAATCTATGCATCAATGATCATTTGCTTTAAAACACAAACCTAAAAAAATTCTTCATAATCTACAAAATAGCATCGAGTCAAAACTTTGGATTTTCAATGCAAACCTTCTTTGGTGAAGACTGGAATAAAAGATGCTGAACACTTCAGGTCATATACTTGGATTGATGATCTGGCTTAACCTTGGAATTCCATCCGATGGCACAGAACGTGCTGCTTCTTGTCCCTTATATTCTTGCTGCTACTTGAGTTCCTAATTTCATGTCCCATATATGATGCAGAAGATGGATTCAATATCAGTTGCAGACAATGGAAGTGCCACCATGTTTTGTCACAACTTAAAGGAGATGAACAACAAACTCCAGTTCTCCTTCTTAATGGATATTCTACTGAGAGTTACTGGTTGCCAACGGAGCCAAATGACTTGATCAGAACCTTACTTGAAGAAGGGCATGAAACATGGCTGTTGCAATCAAGATTACACCCTCTGAATCCTTCAAACAGTTTTACGATTGAAGATGTTGGAAGATTTGATATCCCTGCTGGTAAAAAATTATAAACACCTACTCTAACTCTTACTGATCTGATCCTATTGTATTTCATTAAGCATTTTCTTGCTTTACGACTTCTGCAGCAATTAATAAGATCATGGAGTTGCATGGACCATGTGTAAAGGTGCATGTAGTTGCACACTGCGTTGGAGGCTTAGCCATACACATAGCTGTCATGGGAGGGCATGTCTCTGCAACCCGTATAGCTTCTCTTTCTTGCATCAACTCTTCAATGTTCTTCAAGCTTAGTGCTTTGTCCACAGTTAAAATGTGGCTTCCTCTGATGCCAGTGAGCTCTCTCTCCCACTCTCTCTCTCAAAGAAAAAAAAAAGAACACAGTAAAACAATAGCAATGAAGATGTGGGAAAATTAGCAGGATACTTTTTTAACAAGGGGAGGTAAAAAGAAAAAAGAAGTGCTCTCAAATATGGCAAAATGCTTAAATAGATTATATGGTTTAAAGTTGTAGCAATTTAATAATCATACATAGTTTTCGTAAATACTAAGGTGACATAGAGTTCATAATATATGAGAGCCGCAATTGAGTGACCTAAAGATGCCTCTATTATTCTTTCATGCTTGAACCTTAAATTTTTTTTAATAATGCAGATATCAATGTTCATACTTGGAAATAACAAGATACTTCCTCTGTTGGAAACATCATCGGTCAGCTCACGCCACAGCCTCCTGAAACTTATAGCCTGCTTCATACCCCGGTACGAGAAATGCACCTGCAATGAATGCGAAGTGTTTTCTGGCATATTTGGAAACACATTCTGGCACAAAAACATAAGCCCCACCATGCACCAGTGGTTGAACAAGCAAAGCTCAACAAGGCTTCCAATGGCAGCATTTCCCCACCTCAGAAAGATATGCAACTCTGGTTTTATAGTAGACAGCAGTGGGAGAAACTCATATTTGATCCATCCAGAAAGAATGGCACTCCCAACACTTTACATATCCGGTGGGCGGTCTCTCCTTGTGACTCCTCACACATCTTTCCTTGCTCATAAATACATGAAGTTGCACCAGCCTGGCTTCAGACATGAAAGGGTAGTTGTGGAGGGTTTTGGACATTCAGATTTGTTGATTGGAGAAGAATCTTACAAGAAGGTGTTTCCTCACATACTATCTCATATAAGATCAGCTGAACAAGGAAGAATAGGGAAGGGAAAGAAGTGCAGAAAAAAGGCCTTGGATTGGGAAGCTGATGATCAATATGAAGGCTTGGGTGAATTTGGAACTTGGTTTTCTCCTTTTGTTATAGTTTTGTTGTTGTTTATGTTGCTTTCTCTGCTAGTGTCATTCTTTATATAATTTCAGACCAAGCCAAAAGGAGTCATTGTTTGTATAATTGCAAAATCGGAAAATATCAATGACTGCCTTGTCAAAACCGCAGGCCCCGTACTCCATTATGTCATGTAGTTTCATTTTGAGCATTTTGGGAAAATGTTCAAATAGTGTTAGTATGTTACTATGGTGACAGTCTTAAATCATTACAAATCAATGAATAAATAATAAACAATGTTTCAGTGATTTTAAAGTGACTCATATTAGTTATGCCACTGTACCTCTTCTAAGATTAAAATTAAATTATTTGACCTATTAGTAAGGAGAAGTATTTGTCTATTACTATTGCACCTTTAGGTGATATTATTAATGCTGTGTTATGCAAGGGTTTGAAAACTGTGTTCGCCCAATGGGGTTTAGTCCAGGGAGAAAGGACATTGACTTGTAGATCATGAAATTTTGGCAGTGTATGTGTGTGAGAAAATCTCTCTCATCAAATATTACTTGTATAAAATAAAATAAAATTTGTATTCGAATCTCACCTCCCACATCCAATATCGCGCATATAAAAGACGTCACACCAAAAAATTACTCGTAGAAACAAGAAACGGCCAAATTTTGGGCTTGAGTTGCACCGTACTGAGAGAAGACTTCGGCCTGTCCGTTAATCTCAATTTGTTTGTCGAGCAAGTGGGCCCATTTCACCAGAAAAATTAAATAAATAAATATTAGTAGGAGCCAACAGTATGAGCGGGGCGGTAATTGCCGGGAACACAAATAACAATTTAAGACGGTCAAGAGAGACCACGTTGGCAGAGTGACACGTGGCATTAATCCATCAGCCTCATCTCTCTGTCTCTGTCTTTACCAAAGATGCCCCTCAAACCCTCTCAAAGATCCCTTTGTTCACTCACCAAAATCCTCTCTCTCTCTCTCTCTCTCTCCTCTCTCTACTGCGTTTGGATGATGAGGATGAGCAGAGCATCGAAGTTTTAGAAAGATGGCTTCTTTCTCTCTCCACTGTCATCCTCTCCCTTCGTCCAAAACCCTAATTCCCTGCACCTCCTCTTATGGCAGCCCTAGACGCCTCTCCCTGTCCAAATTCACCTCCCCACGTCCCCGACTTTCCTGTTCTGCTTCCAAGGAGGGTTCCTCCGGAGATAACATCCCCAGGTAATTAATTGAATTTTCTTCCTGGTGTTTGGTTGATGAGAAAATGCTGAATTTTAATTTTCTTTTTTTTTTCCTCAGCACTTTTTGTATCATAGAAGGGCCAGAGACGGTACAGGACTTTGTTCAGATGCAGCTGCAGGAAATTCAGGACAACATCAGGAGCAGGCGCAACAAGATTTTCCTTCTCATGGAAGAGGTCAAACTCAAAAGGGTGTCTTGAATGTTCATTTTCTTATGGCATATTCCTTGTTTGATACTTTTGGTTTGTGTAGCTAAGGAGATTGCGGGTGCAGCACCGCATAAAGATGGCGAAAGATATCGATGAGGCTTGCGAGGAAGAGTCAAATGAGATGCCGGACATTCCATCAACTATCCCTTTTCTCAATCATGTGGTGAGTTTCATTTATAATGTAGCAAACTGCCTTGAGCTTGCCGTTTAGTTTCGGCTAATATTGTGTGATTTTTGTTGTCATGTAGACACCAAAGACATTGAAGCAGCTCTACCTCACAAGTTTATCAATGATATCTACTGTAATTGTATTTGGGGGCCTTATTGCACCCACGGTAAGTCTGTAAATGTAGATTGTCAATTTAAGTTTCTTTATCGTGACTGTATGGTGCTCATTCTATACTATTATTCTAAGTAGATTTTCATTTTCCTTACTTCTTTATGTCTAGTGACCCTTATAGCAGGGTGGTACATGTTCCTCTTAATATTAATTTTAAAGTTCATGCGTTGTGCTGGTAAATATGTTCATGCACTTTACTGTTGTATGTATAAATGTCTCAACCTGTTCTCTGTGGCAGTTGGAACTAAAATTAGGTATAGGAGGTACCTCATATGAAGACTTCATTCGCAGCATGCATTTGCCTTTGCAATTAAGGTATTTATTGAACATACTTTTTCCTGATTATGAATTTAAAGTTCAAGGAACCATTATATGTGTCTCTATGAAATACGGATTTGCTTACTTGGTGTCCTAAATTACTTCTGTTGGATCTTGAATTCAGTCAGGTTGATCCCATTGTGGCATCTTTCTCGGGTGGGGCAGTGGGTGTTATTTCAGCATTGATGTTGATTGAAGCTAACAATGTTGAGCAACAAGAGAAGAAAAGGTGCAAATACTGCCACGGAACTGGTATGTTTCAATTTGTCTCAAATACAAGTGTGCCAACAGATTTTCATGCTCAACAGTTGCATTTGAATTTAGGATCTCTTTGACGATTTTATTTATTAAACAAAAAGGGGATGATGTTGTGGATATTATGTTTCTTCAAATTTATTGAAGTTTTTTCATCACAAAAGTTATTTTCAACTTATTCTGTTACTTTTTTTTGTGGTGTGCTTTTTTTTTTTTTTTTTTTTTCCGCATAATTGTTGTTCTTTTGTATGAGTTTGAAAATTTTGTCTGATCATACTTGGACAGGGTACTTGGCCTGTGCTAGATGTTCAGCAAGTGGTGTGTGCTTGAACATCAATCCTATATCAGAATCTAGTGCATCGGACCGCCCTTTGCGAGTTCCCACAACTGAGAGGTGTCAAAATTGCTCTGGTGCTGGAAAGGTATGGAACTTGTTATTCAAGGTGGCTTGTTCATGGGATATGATTTGGCATGTTGAAGTTTATGGAACTGCCATTTATCATACTAATCTACTAGTGTTGTTGATCATTTGTCTTGGCATGTGCTACACATGCTTCAAATCTCTCCATAAATCCATCTTATCATGTTTTCCTATGGTTTTAGTCATACTAAGCTTAAAAGAGAAGAAAGAATTATCAGACTTACGATGATTTGTCGTACTTCCCAAAGAAAAGATTTAGTGTTAAAGCTTCAATTGCAATTGGTTTCTTTTGATAAGAGAGCTTAGCAATTTGTTTCTTGATCTATTGTAATGCCAATCTCTCTCTTGTAGTACTAATCATCTTCCATGTTCATTTAGGTCATGTGCCCAACATGCCTCTGCACTGGGATGATGATGGCAAGCGAGCACGACCCACGGATAGATCCATTTGACTAAAGCAAACCACACAAATAACTTTACCAGTGTTATCTTCTTGTCAATGTAGCTTGGGAATAATTTTCCCATTCCTGGCCTTCTCCTCCACCGTCCAAAGACACAGAAAGTATATAAAGTAACAATTGTGTAAAAATAAAATAAGGCAATAGAATGTTGTCACAATTTCCCTTGATATTGGCATTGTTGTCTTAATTACAGAGTACCTCATGTAAACTAGGAACACCAATTTAAGTTTACATTGTAAGTTTTCTGTTTGATGAGATGTAGGGATTGGGTACTTGGTTGAGCAGAATGCCAATTTAGATGAAAAGTTTACTTTTTTGTTTACATATTCTATCGGAGATTATTAGAAGCAAAGCTATATTGACCATCCAGAGCTGCAAAATAGCTAATTACTTAAATAAAAAGAAATTGATAGGCAAGGGAGCTTACAACGTGAGATCAGAAATAACCAATATGAATTTATTTGTATGACCAATTCAGCTGGCAACCAGAATCCAGGATTTCCTGCTATCAGAATTATAACTTTAACAGATATTCTGTGTGCAGGAAGGATGCGTTGAGAAACCTCATTTCTACTCAATTTTCTTTAACATTAATCTCATTTATTTGACATGAGTGAGAGCGATCATATTTGATTATCAACACTGTTGGCTGTCCTATGAGCCAAATCCACTCAAAAGAACAAAAAGATAATAGGATTCACAATCGTTTGTATGAGAAAAAATAGTATCTGCTATATGATCCAATAACACATTGATGTTGATGAAGCATTCATAACTTGTTCAGTTTCCAAAGAAGTATCAGCTCTTTCCTTTAAGCATCACCAAACCAAATCATTCTAGCAAATGGATAATTAAGCTGTATAAGACAGAGATAAATCAAGATTATATATATTTAATTAGGGTATATATAATTAAGTTGACTACATTAATTTCAACAGACAGTTTGGCCGAGTGGTCTAAGGCGCCAGATTTAGGCTCTGGTCCGAAAGGGCGTGGGTTCAAATCCCACAGCTGTCAAATTAAACTTTTTTTAATCTTTTTGTTAATATTAACACTTTCCGTTAAGTACTCGCGCGAGAGGAGCAACGACGTCGTATAGCTCATAATTTCTTGCACTCAAGCCTAAAAGAAACACAATTGGTAGTTGACAGTTTTCTCTTTCATCACCATGGCTCGGACCCTCGGAAACAAACCGGGTTTTCACCACCTCCTGACCCGATTCACAATCTCACGACGGCCACTGCAAACCCTAGCCTACGAAGAGCTCCGGCACTCCGCTGACCCAGAACCCTACCGCGCCACCGCTTTTGTCCTCCATGGCCTTCTGGGCTCCGCCAGAAACTGGAGATCTTTCTCTCGCGCCCTCCTCTCTAATCTTTCCAACCCATCTGGTCACTCTTCCTCTCTCTGCTTAACTTCTATTGGTTCCTCTGTTTTCTTCAATGCACTAATTTTGATAATTTGTTTTTTTGATTGTGTGTGTTTTTGTAGGTTGGAGATTGGTGCTTGTGGATTTGAGGAACCATGGGAGGTCAGCTGAGATCGAAGGTCTGAACCCACCTCATGATTTGGTCAATGCGGCCCAAGATTTGGCTCATTTGGTTAAGTCTCAAGGTTGGCCATGGCCGGATGTTGTTCTTGGCCACTCCATGGGTGGTAAGGTTGCTCTGCAATTTGCAGAAAGCTGTGCTCGTGGTCACTATGGTGGTTCCGCTAAGTTTCCCAAGCAGGTTTTCACTTTTGTCCTCCTAGTTTCAACACTTGTGCTTTCTCTTTGCTGAAAGTTACTTTATTTTGGCATAATGTATAAGTAAGTTATTCAAATTCTAGGTTTTCATCATCAGCAATAACCTGAACCATAATAAAACCTAATCATTCAGACCATAAATAAATAAATCTATCTAATCATTCTAGCAAAATGAACTAAATTTGCAAGCTTTTTGCTTGTAGGCTGTTGTGCCTTTCCCTGATACAATATGGGTATATAGCGTGAATCAAAATCATATTTTTTCTTGGTGGGTTGGGGAGTAAGTACGACACTTCTGGTTCTCCACGTTCTTTTTGAACCTTGGATGTTGAAAACTTTCCAACCAATGCTTGTAAACTTATAAATTCTTATCATGCATAGCTCTGTTGAATGTTGCATGGATCATGCTTAGTTTCCTGTGTTTGGTTTATGAGCAAGTAATTCTTCATAATCTATGTGTTGTCTAATGAACTCAAATTGAAACCAAAGCAAGGATTATCTATCACATTGGTTTTTCATTTAGATACGTCTCCTGCTGTCAAATAGGGCCAGCTTAGCCAATTGCCCAGTGAATTCTAACTCTTGAATTTATAGCTAAAAGGAAACAAAGAAATCATTTAAAAGCTTCTGATCCTGTGTGATTGAAAGCTCAGTTCACTTGCACTTAAAAATATTTTTGTGCTCTTTGTACTTTCTCTGTGATCCAGAACAGCTTTGGGTATTGGATTCCTTTCCTGGAGAAGTGATCCGTGAAAACAGTGATGGGGAAGTTGAGAAAGTTTTGCAGACATTGCAGAGTCTACCTTCATCAGTTCCATCACGAAAGTAAAACCTCCTTCTCCTTATGATAAATTATTTGATTCTTATTTGTGTACATGGGTGCTGGAGTGTGTAACTGCCAGTACTATTATGGGGTAAACTGTTCAGAAGTAGGTGTCAGTTTTTTTTTGGGTCTGAAAGTAAGTGTCGGTTAGGTGGAGTTCTTTCTTTGTATGTTACCCCCTTTGGAGATTGACACCATTTCGTACATTTCTAAATTTATTCAGATGCTTTAATTCTTCTGCCCAAAAGTCTCTATAATTTAGTGGAGGCTGTCAATCAAAGAAGTCAGTCTGCTTAATAATATTGGCCCATACCGTCAGATTGCTTCACTCAAGCAAGAGTCTTGGGTTCCGTCTTAGATTTACTTTGGTTAAGCTTGACCAGGAGTCTTTTTAAACTCATTATGAAACTGTTGTTTTTGCGTCAAAGCTTGGTTGCATGATGGAGTTACAAAGATTGTCATGTGTCATATAACGTTTATGTTTCCAAGTTTTTATGTGATAGATCTGGTTCTTGGCTTCAGGTGGCTTGTGGATCATATGATTGAACTTGGGTTCTCAAAGTCATTGTCAGAATGGATAGGCACCAACCTCAAAAAACAGGGAGATCATGAGACATGGGCGTTCAATCTTGACGGTGTTGTCCAGATGTTCAAGTCTTACCAGTAAATTTCTTATTATTTTCATATCAGTTCTTAGAAGTATAAACAATAATTTTTTTTCCCTCCCTCCCCCTTACATTTCCATCTTTATATGAATCCAAAATATTAGGGAGAAGTCCTATTGGCATCTGTTAGAGCGACCCCCAAAAGATATGGAGATAGATGTTGTGCGTGCTGAGAACAGTGATCGTTGGGACCCGGATGTGATTCAACGGCTTGAAAGCCTTGCCAATCGGGAAGGAGATGGATCGGAGGGAAAGTTTTCAGTTCATGTTCTCCCCAAGTCAGGCCATTGGGTTCACGTGGACAATCCAAAAGGTCTTCTTGAGATTGTGGCACCTAGGATTTCATCCCTATGACAAGTTTTTTACGATAGTTGGGTTTTAACTTTTAAGTCACCTGCCGCAGAAAATATATGGAGGCCAATGTGATTGATTCAGAGGCATCTTGTTCAATTTCAAAACTCAGGCATTAAAATGTAGGTTAAAACAGGCAAAATAAATCAATCCGAGCAGTTTGGTTGCCTAGACTAACCAACACCCTATATTAAGAACATGTAATTTTATTATATTTTTACACCTACCACTATTTTGTTGGATGCAATCATTTACTGTCATATTTCATCTCGCACATCGATGTCGTTAAACCATTCGAATTTGACGTAATGTCTCTCTAAAAAACTTTCAATCTTCAACGGTATGAAAGTTTTAGCAACGATTCTTCAATTTCCGATATCAATTTAGAAGGGAGTATGCATATTTGTTTTAGTTGTACATGAAGAGAAATGACCAAATCAAAATAAACCACATTTGTCACTAAATGAATTTATTTGGTTTTATTATGCTACTAGTATGAGGCCTAAATCGAACTAATGCAAATCTGATATTACATTACTTTGATGTGCAGTGTGACATATCTATTCCAGGTTTATAGTTTGTTGCACCAAACGACGTCGTGGTAGTCGTTACTAGCACAGTCTGTATTTTTAATGATCCCTTTGCCCAAACGTTGCGCCAAATCCCCCATGGCGCGAACCATCGGAAACAAATCGGGTCTTCACGACCTCCTGACCCGATTCGTTATCTCACGGCGGCCATTGCAAACCGTAGCATACGAAGAACTCCGGCCCTCCACTGACACAAAACCCTACCACTCCACCGCTTTTGTCCTCCATGGCCTCCTGGGCTCCGCCAGAACCTGGAGATCTTTCTCTCGCACCCTCCTCTCCAATCTCTCCAGCCCATCTAGTATCTCGTCTTCTCTGCTCAATTTATTAATTCCTCTGTTTTAAAAAATACACTAATTTTGTTCTGACAAAAGAAAAAACACTAATTTTGTTTCTTTTTTCTTTGATTGTGTGTAGGTTGGAGAATGGTGCTTGTGGATTTGAGGAACCATGGGAGGTCAGCTGAGATCGAAGGTCTGAACCCACCTCATGATTTGGTCAATGTGGCTAATGATTTGGCTCATTTGATTCAGACTCGAGGTTGGGCCTGGCCCGATGTTGTTCTTGGCCACTCGTTTGGTGGTAAGGTTGCTCTGCAATTTGCACAAAGCTGTGTTCTTGGTCACTATGGTGACTCTGCTAAGGTGCCCAAGCAGGTTTTCACTTTGCCCCTCAAAATATTGTCCTTTCTCTTTGGCGCTGAAGTCCCGCATAGTGAATCAAAATGTGGAAGTTTTTGAGTGTAGGCTGTTGGGTCTTTCCTTGATGCAAAATGATTATATATTGTGAGTCAAAATAATGTTTTGTGGGTTGTGGAGTGAGTGAGTTCTACGCTTTTTGGTTCAAAGAGCTCTTTGCTTTGCATTTGTAGCATCTCTCGGATCAACTATTGGGACCCCACTTGTAGCTTCTTGAACCTTGAATGTTGAAAACTCTCCAACCAGTAAGCAAGGTTTTTAGGGATTTGGTTATGTTGCATAAATCTTTAGTTTCATTGTTTAGTTTTACAAGTACTGCTTACCAGACTGGTTTGTCATTTTAGTATGGCTCCTGTTGTCAAACAGGGCCTGTGGGCTAGTGAGTTTTACCTTTTGATGCCCTTTGTATTTTCTTTGTGACCAGAACAGCTCTGGGTATTGGATTCTCTTCCAGGAGAAGTGAACCCTGAAAACAGAAATAAGGAAGTTGAGAGAGTTTTGCACACATTGCAGAGTCTACCTTCATCAGTTCCATCACGAAAGTAAAACCTCTTTCTTCTTATGATGAGTTATTTGGTTATTGTGTGTACTTCGATGCTGTAGTCTCGTAGTGTTATGGCGTAAACGTTCAGAAGTTGGTGCCTGGTGGAGTTCTTTCTAAGTGTTTTTCTGTATGCTAACCCCTTCGGAGATGACTATATTCCAAAAAGATTTTAAGTTTATTCAGATACTTTAATTCTTCATACCAAAAGTATGTATCATATAGTGGAAGATGTTACTCAAAGAATTCATCTGCTTAATAATGTCGGCACATACAAAAGCCTTGGATTCTGTCTAGCTTTACATTGGTTAAACTTGAACAGGTGTCAAGTTAACTCCATTTGTCGAACCCTTGCTTTTTGCTGCAGAATTTGGTTGTGTAAGGAGTTACAAAATTATCCTGTGTCTGCCCTTCATGTTTCCAAGTTCTTTATGTGATAAATCTGGTTCTTGGCCTCAGGTGGCTTATGAATCATTTGACTGAACTTGGGTTCTCAAAATCATTGTCACATTGGATAGGCAGCAACCTCAAGAAACATGGAGATCACGAGACATGGGCGTTTGATCTTGATGTTGCTGTCCAGATGTTCAATTCTTACCAGTAAATATCTTATTACTTTGAGATCAGTGTTTAGTAAAAGCAATGGAAATATTTTTCCCTCCCCCTTACCCTTTCATCTTCTGTGATTGTGAATTATTGCAGGGAAAAGTCTTATTGGCCTCTGTTGGAGCACCCCCCGAAAAATATGGAGATAGCTGTCGTGCGCGGTGAGAACAGTGATCGTTGGGACGCAGAAGATATTGAACAGCTTGAAAGCCTTGCCAACCGGGAAGGAGATGGATCGGAGGGGAAGGTTTCAGTTCACGTTCTTCCGGAATCAGGCCATTGGGTTCACGTAGACAATCCAAAAGGACTTCTTGAGATTGTGGCACCAAAGATTTCATCCCTTCGACCTTAAACCATAGTTGGATTTTAAAAGTCATCTACCACAGAAGAGGTATAGTGGATTAGTGATTTCTTTCTTATGATTTGACCATTTTTGCCGGCACCCAGCAACTTCATGGGATGAATGTGGCTGTGTTAATAATATTGATACTAACTCTCTAGCCTTAAATGTACAAACCTGAGAATTAAAAAATTTATGCTTGCATTTAGAGATTTATCCTTTTGTATTTCAATTATTCACTTATAATAAGCATTTTTATCATTTGGCTGATCTTTTCTGGTTTTTGGATTTCATCTGGCTCTACATTATAAAACTTTCAACCAGTTGCTAACATGGGAATTTGATTAATTGAGAGGCATCATGTTCATTCTAAAAACTTATTTTTTTAATTATTTGGGGCGCGATATTCAAACTTGAAACATCTTTCAACATTGGAATGAAAAGTACATTTAGATTAAAGCTAGTTGATTTATTTATTAACTCCACACAATTTGCTAAACCTAATATGGAGTATCATATTGAAGTAAAGGCTCTTAACTGCTTCACTACCTAAGTTGCACTATATGAAGGTTCTTCATCATATTATAGGGGGGAAAGGACAGCGAAAAGAAAAGACAAAAACAAAAATTGAATGACCATTGATATGCAAATATAATTTGATTTAAAAAATGCTTTAATGAGAAGAGAAAAAACAGAAAACAATGGCGGGTTTTAGAAAGATATGTAGACAAAATTTATACTGCGACGATGCCTTATGCTTGCAAGCTCTTGATCCAGGAACTCCAATCGATGAACATTGTTCCTCGCACAAGGAATGAAGTTGTCAACTATTGACTTTTCTTGACACTGCAAAGTACAAATTGAAAGGTCCCTGCCTTCAACGTATTCTTAGTTTTCCAGTGTTGTACATATCAACTGGTGTGCATAAATATGCCCCTTTGAATCATCTCTCTTCTGAAATAATTTAATAATTGAGAGAGTCTAAGGAAGAAAAATAAATAAATCAAACCATGAAGCAAAAAATCCAACCAAGTCGAGCAAAAAACTCAACCTAATGAAGAAAAAAATGGAACTCCATGAAGAAAAAACCAAAACCAAATGAAGCAAAAACCTAATCCAAATGAGGCAAAATATTTAACCAGTGATACAAAAACAGACCCTTATGAAGCGAAAAATCCAACCCCACAAAAGAATGAAGGAGTTTGTGCTAAAATAGTCATTTTTCACGACTTTTATTATATAATAGCCCTTGCCCCAGACCCAATGAAACAAAAAACTGAATGCTATAAAGCAAACCATAATTGCTGTAAACAAAAAAATAAAATTAGTGTTTCTTTATATTTTTCTTTTTGCAAAAGGTTTTTGTAGTATTTTATTTCATCACTTAAAAAAAGAAAGAAAAAGAAAACAAAGTGGTGTAGTATGGTAGAGAAACTATACAATTAGGAATTAAAAGGGTAATCAGGTCATTTCAGAACCCATAGAGAAACCCTAACTATAAATCATAACAAAGAGATATACCGATCTCATCTCGGCAGGCAGAGGGTTTTGAAAGCGCTGAGCTTGAGCGCCACAGTTGTGAATAACCTCTAAGTAATCGCCTGCTTGTAGCCATGGTAAGCAACTTTCTCTCCATCCCTGCTTTCTGTTGCATCTGCTTCATCCCATTTTCCTCTCTTCCTGATCCATCAGTATTTTATGGTATTTACATTCTATGGGGCTGCCCAGAAAGCGAAAGCAAAATATGAAAAGAACATAGACTTTTTTTTTTCTCTCTTGAGTTTTCTCGCCAACCAAACACAACATGATTCAGCTTTCGTGGTGTATTTTTTCAGAGGAGTAGATTTATCAGCAACTTTGTATTTTGATCTTGTTTATAATATAATTTTCCGATGCGCTTTATCATTTCTACTATGGATTAAGCCTAGAACCATTCAATTACTTGTATGAAGTTTTGATTTTTTTTTACTTCTTTCAATTGGTTTTTTAGTCGAGAAGGAAGACCAGGGAGCCCAAGGAGGAAAATGTCACTCTCGGACCTGCTCTCCGAGATGGAGAGCATGCTTTTGGTGTTGCTCATATTTTTGCCTCATTTAATGATACATTCATTGTAAGCACTATCATATTCTTCTTTTATCTTGTAACCATGATTACTTGTAGTTTAAGTTATATATAAATTTCTTGTTTTCTAATTGCAGCATGTAACTGACCTGTCTGGAAGGGAGACACTTGTTCGTATCACTGGTATAATATTCAACTTCTCTTTTGTTAATTGAAATAATGTTTTGGTATTTTTTGCTTTGGAATTACATGGTTGGAATTCTCCCCAGTAATTGAGTCAACCCATAATTAATTGTAGAGCTTTTTCATCAAAACTAGTGATGTGTATGAATGATGGGTGCTCAAATATTAATGTATTTGTTTTTTTTCTTCATAAACCAGGCAATTTAGTCCTGGCATTTCAAAGATAATTTTCTTTTGATTATGCCTCTGCTGTTGCTATAATACCTTATCACCTTTTTCCCAAATGCAGGTGGTATGAAGGTGAAAGCTGATAGAGATGAATCATCGCCATATGCAGCCATGCTTGCGGCTCAGGATGTTTCTCAACGGTGCAAGGTCTGCATGTTTTCCGTCTACTGGTTTTCAGTTGTATACTTTGAATTATATGCCTTGGTGGATGATTATGTCAATTGGCTACTGCATTACCCCGCCTGTTGATGGTAATTTGATATTATGCAGAAAACTGCTTCTTGACTCTTAGTATTGATTTTGTAGGAGCTTGGCATTACTGCTTTACATATAAAGCTCCGGGCTACTGGAGGGAACAAGACTAAGACTCCTGGTCCTGGTGCCCAATCAGCACTCAGAGCCCTGGCTCGTTCTGGCATGAGAATTGGTCGTATTGGTAAATTTCCTTTGCTGTTTTATTTCTGTCTGCCTTGCTAAATTTATTATGTATCCATATCGTTTTTACCCTTTTCTCCCACTATTGGGTTTAAATGTGTTCTGTGCCTCTCCTGATGCTTTGAACTCCCAAGTGATGATTGGTAATTCTGGAAATTTGGTTTTATGGCTTTGCTGCTTTTATAGAACCTATGTAAAGCACTTAGAGCTCATGCCTGATGTACGATAATTACTTTGGGTTTGTAGTGTAGAGACACATAAACAATGTCATCTAAGTTAAACATTTGAGGTGCTGGTTTTGTAATTTTCAATCCTGAGTGCAGTTCTTGATGTTTTTTTTTCTTTCTGTTTTGGCAGAGGATGTGACTCCAATTCCCACTGACAGTACTCGTAGAAAGGGTGGCAGAAGGGGAAGAAGGTTGTGATTGCTTACAATTGTGTGGTTTCAGCTGGCGATGTGGTTTCTGGGATATTTTTGTTTTGGATAAAAAAAATTTATTATCAGCCTTGCTATCGGCTTGGACGTAGTTTTAAACCTAGTTAGATTATTGTGCCAGAAAAGAGAACTAGAATTTGATTTGGTTGGCAATTATCATTTGAGCTTTACACATCAAATGCTGTTATTCACTTGTTTCTTCAAGGTTTTTAATCGGATGCTGGATTCTATGTTTTGTCCCTGATTGAGCTGAAATAATCGGATGCTATTAATTAGAAAATAGATAGCCACTGAAATAATCATGAAATCTAAACACTCAAGGGTGTCAAGTTTAGCGAAACCTTACCGTGTGAAAGGATTAAGGAACGGAAGGGACACTCGCACAAAAATTCTACTAGAGCAGTGTTAATTTCACTGGCTTGTGGTTGAGCAGGACATACAATTACTAACAAATAGCTTCTCAGTCCAATAGTAATGTTAGAGACAATTTAAGTACTCCCATTTCTCTCTACACGTTGGTATGTCGAACTTGATTGGATTGTTTTAATTAAATTGAAAAAGTGACCGAGTCATTGTTCGGTATGCTAGGACTAAACTTATTGTGTCTTATAAGACCTTCTACGCGTTGGCTCATTAAAGTCCGGGGGATACCAGGATAGGAATAACTGTTAACCTTATTTACTCGTAGCAAACGAAAAACTGCTACATGAATTGGTGTCCAAAAGTTCAGTGTAATAAAATGGTGTCACTAGCAATATTGATCATTTGAAGAAAAAGAATGGTTCTAAAAAGAAAAATGTTGAAATCTAGTGCAAGTGTAGAATTCTCAAAATAGGGCCCAATCCAGATTAGTTACGCTTCTAAGCAACCGGCCCAACTACATCGGGTCCGTTCGGGTCAAGCCCTGTCTCGTAGCGAAATGAAACCCTAGAAACAAAGATTATAAAACCCTGACGAAGCCATTTCCGCCTCTCACTGAGTCTTTAGACGGAGGCAGAGCAAGATGCAGATTTTCGTGAAAACCCTAACCGGGAAGACCATCACTCTCGAGGTCGAGAGCAGCGACACCATCGACAATGTCAAGGCCAAGATCCAAGACAAGGAGGGCATTCCACCAGACCAGCAGCGTTTGATTTTTGCTGGCAAGCAGCTTGAAGATGGCCGCACCTTGGCTGACTATAACATCCAGAAAGGTCAGTTTTCCTTTTTCTTATCTGGGTTTTTGGATTGATTGATTTGATTTTTGATTATGGAGTCTAATTTGGTTGCTCTGTTTGTTTCAGAATCGACTCTTCATCTTGTTCTGAGGCTCCGTGGAGGTATTATTGAGCCTTCTTTGATGGCTTTGGCTCGCAAGTACAACCAGGACAAAATGATTTGCAGAAAGTAATGTTCTTTTTCATCTCAAATCTGTTTGTTTATGTGCAAATGATGTGATTTACTGAGATTTTTTTGGGTTTTCTTGTCGTAGGCTGTTATTGATTTAGTTCTAAATTTTTATTTACAAAACTTATGGGACAATTACTTAGCCTCCTTTTTTGATAATGTGTAATTGAGGTTATACTTGTCCCAATACAAATTTCCATTCTCTTAACTTTGTCAGCTGGGCTCAATCACTTGCAGCTGATTTTCATGAGTGGGACATTATTTTGTTATTATTATATTTTCTTTGTAAACCCTGTATATCATAGCTATGTGAAACACTTGCTACATTTTGGTCCTATAGTTAATTGAGATTTGATATGCGAATAGGGCAGAGTAAGTTGGCTTAACTAATTTAAGCTAACCGTTTGTGATATTAATTAATTTCTTTAAATATATTCATAAATTTGGTTCCCATTTCTACCTCCACTCGTCAGATGTTGGCTGGATCCATTTAGTGTGAGTTAATCTTGTGGGTGTGGTGGGGCATCATTCTAAGGTTGCGGCAGCTCATGAGCTTAACTTTTGGGACAATTACTTAAACTCCTTTTTCTGCTGAAATGAATTAAGGTTATGCATGTTTCAACGTTTATTCCACTCTTTAACTTTTAACAGCTGACATAAATTATTTTAAGTTGATATCATGGGTGGGTCAAAATGTAGTCTTGTTAAATTTTCTTACTAGATTTGGGCTTAACCAAATTGTGTGAAAACTTTCTGCATGAAGAGAGTAGAGGTTCATGTTGAATCAAATGCTCTATAGTGTTGCACTTATGTTCAATGTATGGTATTGTGGCTTCCAATTTTATTTCCATATTTCCCTTATTGGTCTGTCAACATTTGATGTTGTATGATTGTCCCACGCGCATCAAATTTTATATATTTTCTGGTTTTTTAGATGTTATGCTCGGCTGCATCCAAGGGCAGTGAACTGTAGGAAGAAGAAGTGTGGCCACAGCAACCAGGTACTTTTATCTTTCCTTGGACATGTTTAGTTTTTATTTATTTAGCATTTGAAGTTTGATCAGAGAATTGCATAAGTTTATGATTGATATGCTTAGGATCTCTTTCTGTTCTAAACTGAAGCTGTCTTTTTTTGTTTTCTTGCAGTTGAGGCCAAAGAAGAAGGTCAAATAGACTATTGTTCTAGTAATTTTCCCCTTGTCTAGACTGGAGTTTGAATTTTGCAATTCGGTTAAGTCATTTGCTTTGTATTTGAAGTTAAACAAGTGCAGTTTATATTAAGATGTATGAATTTTGGGATAATTTTGGTCTCTTGGTTTGTATTTGCCTTGTTATCTGGTTTCCGGATGCTGCTTGAATTTTCCTTTCGGTCGAGTTTTGTGTGATGTGAATGCAGCTAGGTTTTTTCTTTTCCTTTGCTTGGCCAGTTTCATTTTTTTATCCATGGCATTGTTAAATTTCCAATGTCAATAAGACTTGGGATGGTCGATGGTTTACATGTAGTGAAAATTACGTTTCCCTTTCGGTTGATGTCCAATGGAAGGAAATGTTCTCTTTGGTGGCCGCCATTAAGTGGCATTATAATCCATTTGCTCAATTTGAATGTCCGATGAAGAGCCTGGTTTCTTACTAGTTCCAACTGCTCCCAACATCTGAGACTGACCCATTTTTTCCCTCGCTATTCCGCCCTTTTCTTTTTACCTTTGTAAGTTGTATTTGAGGTCTCCTGGTGCCTCAATCCTTACCTATTCCATTTTGTTATGTTTTATTGTCAAATTGGAGTACACATTTTTTTCTTTGTTACATATTCTGCATGATCTATTAGAATCTTTTACCCTTGCAAATGGATGGGCCTCAAAATACCAAGAAGAAGGAAAAGCACAGGTCCTTCCAAGATATTTTAAAAACTCAACGCGATGTTGTTAATACTTAGTAGAATAACGGGTCTATAATAAAGGATGCATATATTAATATTGGTAGGATGCATATGCATATATCATGGAGGAAACTTAGGAAATGGAATCATGGTGGGATAACATGGTAATACACGTGATTGTATTACGGTACCACACTATAATTACACATAGCACACAAATGAATAGTTTAATATCATGATGGAAACATATAGATGGATATCAGTTTCGTATTGTAATTTTCTGAATCAGAGACTTAGTATCTATTCCTTTACCATAGAAATTTTCACGGAATTCTTGGGGAGTGAAGTCTCGATAAATTGGTGGGTTGTGAGGTGACAGAAGCTCAGGAAGAGGGCCAGAGTAACCATCTTCCCTCCATTTGGCTAGGTTGAAAAATACCACAATTGAAATCCGAGATTCCTTCCTGGAGTTGGCCAGCACTCTGTGCTGCACACTTTTGTACTCCCCATTTGAGATTATCTGCAGCCTCACCACAAACACACAGGGTCTCATTTTACTTATTATTTTAACAACAAGGTAAGATTTGGTCTCAAGATACTCCCTTCCCTTCACCTTCACCTACCTTTATGCTTTATTGAAATAACAAAACAAAACAAAAGTTTAAACATTTATTATTTTTACTTTTAATAGGAAACAGACAGCTTCTTATTATTCTGTACTTACGGTATCCCATACCGTAAGTACGAAATGACGATGCAAATCTATTGAATCCAACCAGATTATAAACCCACACTAGATCAGCATGCTGCATCGGCGTATTAGAGTTTTACATGTTATGTTGTTAGATTATCAATCAAAATATTAGATTCAGAGTTGAATTTACCTGAAGAAAATCTCCAACGTTAATGATCAAACCACCAGGCACAGGCTTCACATCCAGCCACTCATTCTCATGCCTAACCTGCAATCCCGGCACATGGTTTTGCAACAAGACCGTCAAGAACCCCGGATCCGTATGCGCCTTAATCCCTACCGTCAGATCAGGCTGAGGACAGTAAGGATAGCAGTGCCCCACAAGCACCCTTGAATCCGAAAACGTTAGCTCCTTAAACCTCCCACGCTCCAAACCTAACCCTTCCGAGAGCAACTCCATAACGTCATCAGCCACCTTGGTTGCATGCAAATCCCATTCAACCAACTCTTCCCTGCACACCTCCGGGATCTCCTCCACATTGGGCGGCTCCGGCCCCATCCACATCTGCAAGGAGTCGTGCCAGCTGGCGGCGGTTGTACGGTACAAGTCGTTGTTGCTGGCATACATAACTCCCTTTCCTTCATCTCGCTTGTAGTACTTGGCTTTCACCTCAAGGGGCTGCTCGTGGAAAGCTTTGACCGCGTTGACCGTCTCGTCTAGGACCGAGACGGGCATCCCGTGGTTGGTGACCTGGAAGAAGCCAAAGGTTTTCGAGGCGGCTTTGACCTGGTCAACGATATCGTGGCGGTGGGCAGGGGAGGTGATGTGGGAGAGGTCGATGGTGGGTATGACAGCGGCAGTTGGGTTGGAGGAGGGTTTGAGGTCGGATAGGGTTTGAGGGTCGTGGACAAAAATTTGAGGGATGGAAGTGATGCCGGAATCGGAGAGGCCCTTGACTCCCATCTTTGACTCGTCAAATTCCTTCACTTCCTTCACGCGATCATATGAGCTTGAACTTGCATCAACACTGGCTGCCATTTTCTCACTAGGACTAGTTTTCGACAGAATTGCAAATATATTTCTTCTATGTTATCTATATAGGAAAGGAATATAAGTGTTCATTTTTCTTTTATTTATTTATTTTTATATCGTGGAGTTGGAAAAAAGAGAGTAGAGAGTGCACATCCATGAATGTGTCATCATCTCCATCATGCACGTTATACTTGTTTCAGTAAAAACGTCATATTTCCTCCACCAAAATTCTAACTCGTTTGCATTTTATTTCAGTTTTGTCAAATTATAACTCGTTTGGTGTCAATAAATGATGATCATGTAGACGTTTTTTTTTGGTTAAAAACGTGCGCCCACTCACAATCACAAAAGTCAGTGGGGAAGGTAGAGTTTGATATTTTAGGGAGCCACACAAGCTTCAATGTATGTGATTTTTTGTGCAATATACCACACTCTTTATACAGTTAAAAATGTAAGAAGATGGTGGGGGCCCAGGCCATGGGATTACCAATCTCCTCCTCTATAGTAATTTAAAATCAATATATTTGTTCTTGTTCACACATTTCAATCTCCACCAGTTATATGGATAATGAAGATTTAATAATTAGAAAAAGAGATATTTAGTTATATACCTATTCTTAGCACTAAAACTATAAATAAATCATACACCATTTAATTTCTATAAACAAACCCAAAAAAAACCCAAAAAATGAAAGCTAGCTCTATTGAATTTAATTTTGATTATTAAATTACTTTGATGCCCTATTGAGTGTTTTAGGTTTTTTTTATGAGGTTTTGGGGTTAGGTTTGTTTTAAGAAATCAATGGCAATTTTTTAATTTAAAATAAGTTAAAATCCTTTTTGTTATGTTGTAAATGGGCTTTGAATGTGTTTCTAAAGTCCATTTCATATAGGGTCTTTTTTTAAAATTTTATTTTATAATTTGGGCTCCTATATTGGGTATAATAGTGGATCTCCCTTATAAAAAACACTAAAAATGTGCTCATTCTTGCATTATAGAAAACAATATTTAGCGCTATACAGAGTACAATAGACTACTTTGTAAGTCTAATGATAGAGAACCTTTATGTGTAAAGAGACTCATCTATTTCTCTGAACCTTAATTTCTTTTTTATCGGTTACTTCCTATTCAATAATATATTGAAGCCTTTTGCACCCTCCTCCAAAAAAAACAAAACCAATACTTGAATGCCAAAATAATTCCCCATAACTATTGTACTTGAAGAGCTCAAAGCAAAAGAGCTGCCAATATAATTTTCATACATTAGCCTTATAATTATGCTTGATTAACTGTTCACCGAAAAATAAATATGTTGGATATATTATATAATTAAGAGGATTTTGGAGACAAATTTGGAACAAGAGAAAACAATTATGGAAGAACAATTCTCAAGAGCTCAACTATGAGTTTCCACTCATCTAGTTTTATTCATCTTTGGTGCCTATTTATAGGCATAGAAAATACATAGTTTACTACATAAGTGGTAGGTTTCAATCACATCACAAAGGTATAGTGGGAGAGATAAGTATTATATTGTGTATGTAGGTATGGTGAGTATACCGTATATGGTGGGCATCCATCTTATCATGGATTTACAACAGGATATTGTTGTCCTATGAGACTATGACAAACGACACCGTTTGTGGGCACACTCTTTCTCACGATGAAAATGAGCCAAGTTATGCGACAGGGGAATATAGTGGGTTCCAGGGGAATATAAGGAGTTTAAAGACATATTTTGTGCCTTAATATGCATTGATTCTTTCTCTTTTTCTTTCTTTGATTCGAAAATCAACTTCATTAATGAATAAATGTTACAATATAAGTACATGATTAATTAAACCAAACATAATTTTTCTTGAGATTAAATCCTAAACATTCTATATATGCTCAGAATTCTAAGTTTTGGTTCATCTGTTGAGGAGCATTCATACTCCATGCGGTGAGGGTCTGGACAGTAACAGGCTCAGTTCCATTGTTGAAGACGAATAAGTGTGCAGCATCCTTAACGGCTAGTGTGGGATAAACCCTTGATGTGATGCATCTTTTTCCTCCAGCTCCAAAACTTTCAACAACCGAATGATCAATCTGCAGAAACGAAAAAAGAGAAGTTACAAATTGGTTATTAATTCATTAATTAATAAAAATGAGGTACAAAATTGAGAAAGGAAGTGAAGGGCTTAAGTTTTCTCACCAAACTCCTCAATGAAATTTTCTTATCAGTGAATAAATCTACATCTACAAAGCCAGCAAATGATGGTCTATACAACTTTTCATTAAACGGCCTCAATGAAGAACTATCACAACCAATAAAATTAAGGGTTAACAAATGTGAAGGAATAGTTCCATTGTGAGTACAGAAAAATGGAAGTAGGTCGATGTTATCAAATATCAACAATGTATCAGATACTGTTAACTACTATCATTTACGATAATAAATTCAGAAGAGTAGGACAAAAGACAAACCTTTTTGCGTTAGAGCACATGAGAACCTTATGCTTATTCTCTTTAGTTTTAAAAACTCTAAAGAACACAGGAGTAAACTCCTCCAGGTTTTGAGAAGCCAGTGTCAAGAGCCAGAATGGACCGACGCCACCTGGAACGTCTGAACGCCTTAGGCTGCAGACAGTTTGGGCATCGAGGTTGGCCCAGTTAGGATCAAACTCTTCGGCTTTGTCCAAACTCCCCAAGGATAAGGTAACTTCAACGTCGGCCTGAGCAGCAGTTATTCCTTTTCCTTCAACATGCTGTCCCTGTTCCACATTTTGATTGTTCATGTCCACCTTTTGCCCCCTCAAAGTTTCTAATTCTTTGATAGGCCATTGCACCACTTGTTTAGCATCGGGGCTTAGCCACACCGCCCTTGGAATTGTCTACAAAATTATAACAATCCAAAAAATGAAGCTATCTTAGTATATATGGTAGTGCACATATATAATTGCTATACAAAGTAAGGGGAAATAAAACTATGGTATCAGTTGGTGAGTTGGATTATATGATTGGAAGCAATTCACAATCCTAGTAAGATGTTTGGTGGTCTTAAAACAACGTGGATTTGATTATGTCTAATACTACTAGGCCCAAATCTAATTGGATTATGAATTCCACCAAAGAGTTTGTTTTCACTTGGATGGGATTTTGTCAAATCTTGTTAGGCCATGTAAGTAACACACCTCAATCCAATATATCATTGGATTAGTGTTATCCTATCCAATCCAATTTTACCTCATAATCCAACTCAATCTCAATCCCGAAACATGTCCTTAATTGAATGAAAAAAAATACAAAATAAAAAGTTAGCAATCATGTACCTGAACTCCAGCCCATCCCTTAGCTTTATCATCGTCAGCAGCATCTGACTCGTTAGCCCAACCCCACAAAATCCTCCTATTCTTTGAAGGATCAAAGAAAGACTTGGAAGCGTAAAAGTTTCCATAATCCAATCGCAACCCAGCTCGACCATCCACCGAAGTCTTATCAGGCACGTACCTATCTTTCTCAGGAAAATATTTCCCGAGTCTGTAGTACTCATACCTAGTCTCATCAAGGCTCACTTTCAAAATATGTTTCACATCCTCACCAACTTTTGATGTGTCCACTCCACTCCTCCCATTCAATGCCAAAGGAAAAAAGTCGGGGCACTCCCACATGCCAGTTTCGGGAGCAGAGTGAAGAGGGTGTTTGGCCTTCACCCAGTACTTGAAATCAATACTTCTATACAACCAAGCCATCCCTCTATGCTTTCTCTTGCCACCCACCAAAATACTCCAATGACCATTATGCCACCATGCAGTTGTTGGGTCACGAAATTGGCTCGAGTTCATCTCCTGGCTAGGGACTACTAGGGGGTTGTCATCGGGTTTGATCCATTCACGAAGGAAGGGGTCGGAGTAATTGGCTGGAACGGCGTAGTTTTGGATCTGACGCTCCGCGTCAAGTCCTGTGTAGAGGATGATGGGCTTGTTGCCTGGGAGAACTGTGGCAGAGCCGGACCAAGTGCCGTTTATGTCAAAGGGTTTGGAAGGGTATATGGCTAGGGGGAGGGCTTCCCAGTTGATGATATCTTTAGATACTGAGTGAGCCCACACAATGTTGCCCCACACTGCACCTTTGGGGTTGTACTGGTAGAACAAGTGGTAGATACCATTGAAGTACATGGGTGCTGTAAATTCGCAAAAAAGAAATTAATTTGAGTGTTATATTTCTAGATTGTGGATAATTAAGTACTCTTTTTCCCTTAGACCAGTTTTTTTGTCCCATTGAGTTTTTACTGGCAAGGTTTTTAACGAGGTATATTTCATACATGGTGGTCTCCAAGAGGGAGTGTTGTAAAGTCTTGAATGGAGCCCACGCATTTAGAAATAATGAAGAACATCATGATGAAGCTTGTCTGCCATCATTCCTTGAGAGCCAACCACGAATCCACGGGAAACAATAATCTTTGCCTATAAAATAAGCCCTCCTTCTCATTTGTACTAAATAGAACAAAAGTCTTAATGAAAAATATCAAATTTCTATGCTTTCTCTATACCTCAATTCTCTTTACAATCTCTTTAGTTTTATAAAAAATAGAATAATAGGGTCTGTAATAAAGGATACATATATTAATATTGGTAGGATACATATATCATGGAGTAAACTTAGGAAATGGAATCATGGTGGGATAACATGGTAATACACGTGAGTGTATTACGGTACCACACTATAATTACACATAGCACACGAATGAATAGTTTAATATCATGATGGAAACATATAGATGGATATCAGTTTCGTATTGTGATTTTCTGAATCAGAGACTTGGTATCTATTCCTTTACCATAGAAATTTTCAAGGAATTCTTGGGGAGTGAAGTCTCGATAAATTGGTGGGTTGTGAGGTGACAGAAGCTCTGGAAGAGGGCCACAGTAACCATCTTCCCTCCATTTGGCTAGGTTGAAAAATATCACAATTGAAATCCGAGATTCCTTCCTGGAGTTGGCCAGCACTCTGTGCTGCACACTATTGTACTCCCCATTTGAGATTATCTGCAGCCTCACCACAAACACACAGGGTCTCATTTTACTTATTATTTTAACAACAAGGTAAGATTTGGTCTCAAGATACTCCCTTCCCTTCACCTTCACCTACCTTTATGCTTTATTGAAATAACAAAACAAAACAAAAGTTTAAACATTTATTATTTTTACTTTTAATAGGAAACAGACCGCTTGTTATTATTCTGTAATGTCGGCTATCGATCCTCCACCTAACTTGCATATCAAATTATTTTCAAAAAAGGAAAAACAGGAAGAAAAAAAAGTTATGGTGTGTATCCTATACCGTAAGTACGAAATGACGATGCAAATCTATTGAATCCAACCAGATTATAAACCCACACTAGATCAGCATGCTGCATCGGCGTATTAGAGTTTTACATGTTATGTTATTAGATTATCAATCAAAATATTAGATTCAGAGTTGAATTTACCTGAAGAAAATCTCCAACGTTAATGATCAAACCACCAGGCATAGGCTTCACATCCAACCACTCATTCTCATGCCTAACCTGCAACCCCGGCACATGGTTTTGCAACAAGACCGTCAAGAACCCCGGATCCGTATGCGCCTTAATCCCTACCGTCAGATCAGGCTGAGGACAGTAAGGATAGCAGATCCCCACAAGCGCCCTTGAATCCGAAAACGTCAGCTCCTTAAACCTCCCACGCTCCAACCCTAAACCTTCCGAGAGCAACCCCATAACGTCATCAGCCACCTTGGTTGCATGCAAATCCCATGCAACCAACTCTTCCCTGCACACCTCCGGGATCTCCTCCACGTTGGGCGGCTCCGGCCCCATCCACATATGCAGATAGTCGTGCCAGCTGGCGGCGGTTGTACGGTACAAGTCGTTGTTGCTGGCATACATAACTCCCTTTCCTTCATCTCGCTTGTAGTACTTGGCTTTCACCTCAAGGGGCTGCTCGTGGAAAGCTTTGACCGCGTTCACTGTCTCGTCTAGGACCGAGACGGGCACCCCGTGGTTGGTGACCTGGAAGAAGCCAAAGGTTTTCGAGGCGGCTTTGACCTGGTCAACGATATCGTGGCGGTGGGCAGGGGAGGTGATTTGGGAGAGGTCGATGGTGGGTATGACAGCGGCAGTTGGGTTGGAGGAGGGTTTGAGGTCAGATAGGGTCTGAGGGTCGTGGACAAAAATTTGAGGGATGGAAGTGATGCCGGAATCGGAGAGGCCCTTGACTCCCATCTTTGACTCGTCAAATTCCTTCACTTCCTTCATGCGATCATATGAGCTTGAACTTGCATCAACACTGGCTGCCATTTTCTCACTAGGACTAGTTTTCGACAGAATTGCAAATATATTTCTTCTATGTTATATATATAGGAAAGGTAAAGTGTTCACTTTTATTTTATTTATTTATTTTTATATCGTTGAAGTTTCAAGTTTACCTACCGCGTTCATTTCCTTTTTCATGGAGTTGGAAAAAAGAGGGTAGAGATTGCACATCCATGCATGTGTCATCATCCCCATGATGCACGTTATACTACTTTCAGTAAAAAAAAGTCAAATTTTCTCCACGAAAATTCTAACTCATTTGTATTTTATTTCAGTTTTGTCAAATTATTCTTGGTGTCAATAAATGATGATCATGTAGACGTTTTTTTTGAATCTCCACCGGTTATATTTCAATATTGGGATTATCCCTCCACTTTAGTAATTTTAAATTAATATATTTGTTCACACATTTCAATCTCCACCGGTTATATGGATAATGAAGATTTAATAATTATAAAAAACACTAAGAATGTGCTCATTCTTACATTATAGAAACCAATACTTAGCGTTATACGGAGGAGAGTATGCTATTTTGTTAGTCCAACGATCGAACTTTTATATGTAAAGAGACTCATCTATTTCTCTAAACCTTAATTTCATTTTGTATCGGTTACTTCCTATTCAATAGTATATTGATGCCTTTTGCACCCCCCCAAAAAAATAAAAAATATTTGAATGCCAAAATAATTCCCCATAACTATTATACTTGAAGAGCTCAAAGCAAAAGAGCTGCCTATATAATTTTCATACATTAGTCTTATAATTATGTTTGATTAACTGTTCACCGAAAAATAAATATGTTGGATATATTATATAATTAAGAGGATTTTGGAGAGAAATTTGGAAGAAGAGAAAACAATTATGGAAGAACAATTCTCAAGAGCTCAACCATGAGTTTCCACTCATCTACAACAGACTACAACATGATATTGTTGTCCTAGCTATGAGACCATGACAAACGACACCGTTTGTGGGCACACTCTTTCTCACGATGAAAATGAGCCAAGTTACGCGACAGGGGAATATTGTGGGTTTCGGGGTACGTGTGTTGTTGCTGTTGTTGTTGGGCCTCCGTTTTGAGCAACAAGGCAAAACATGAATTCACAATAAGGAGTTTAAAGACATATATTTTGTGCCTTAATATGCATTAATTCTTTCTTTGATTCGAAAATCAACTTCATTAATGAATAAATGTTACAATATAAGTACATGATTAATTAAACTAAGCATAAATTTTATTGAGATTAAATCCTAAAAATTCTATATATGCTCAGAATTCTAAGTTTTGGTTCATCTGTTGAGGAGCATTCATACTCCATGCGGTGAGGGTCTGGACAGTAACAGGCTCAGTTCCATTATTGAAGACGAACAAGTGTGCAGCATCCTTAACGGCTAGTGTGGGATAAACCCTTGATGTGATGCATGTTTTTCCTCCAGCTCCAAAACTTTCAACAACCGAATGATCAATCTGCAGAAAAGAAAAGAAAAAGTTACAAATTGGTTATTAATTCAATTAATTAATAAAAATGAGGTACAAAATTGAGAAAGGAAGTGAAGGGCTTAAGTTTTCTCACCAAACTCCTTAGTGAAATCTTCTTATCAGCAGATAAATCAACATCTACAAAGCCAGCAAATGATGGTCTATACAACTTTTCATTAAACGGCCTCAATGAAGAACTGTCACATCCAATAAAATTAAGGGTTAACGAATGTGAAGGAATAGTTCCATGATGAGTACAGAAAAATGGAAGTAGGTCGATGTTATCAAATATCAACAATGTATCAAATATTGTAAACTACTATCATTTACGATAATAAATTAAGAAGAGTAGGACAAAAACAAACCTTTTTGCGTCAGAGCACATGAGAACCTTATGCTTATTCTCTTTAGTTTTAAAAACTCTAAAGAAGACGGGAGTAAACTCCTCCAGGTTTTGAGAAGCTAGTGTCAAGAGCCCGAATGGACCGACGCCACCTGGAACGTCCGAACGCCTTAGGCTGCAGACGGTTTGGGCATCGAGGTTGGCCCAGTTAGGATCAAACTCCTCGGCTTTGTCCAAACTCCCCAAGGAGAAGGTAACTTCAACGTCGGCCTGAGCAGCAGTTATTCCTTTTACTTCAACATGCTGTCCCTGTCCCACATTTTGATTGCTCATGTCCACCTTTTGCCCCCTCAAAGTTTCTAATTCTTTGATAGGCCATTGCACCACTTGTTTAGCGTCGGAGCTTAGCCACACCACCCTTGGAATTGTCTACAAAATTATAACAATCCAAAAAATGAAGCTCTCTTAGTATATATGGTAGTGCACATATATAATTGCTATACCAAGTAAAGAGAAATAAAACTATGGGATCAGTTGGTGAGTTGGATTATATGATTGGATAAGATTCACAATCCTAGTAAGATGTTTGGTGGTTTTTAAACAACATGGATTTGATTATGTCTAATGCTACTAGGCCCAAATCTAATTGGATTATGAATCCCACCAAAGAGTTTGTTTTCACTTGGATGAGATTATGTCAAATCCTGTTAGGCCATGTAAGTAACACACTTCAATAATCCAACATTTCATCGGATTAGTGTTATGCTCTCCAATCCAATTTTACCTCATAATCCAACTCAATCTCAATCCCGGAACATGTCTTAATAATGACCAAAAAAAAAAAAAAAAAAAAAAAAAAAAAAAAAAGCTAACATGTACCTGAACTCCGGCCCATCCCTTAGCTTTATCATCGTCAGCAGCATCTGACTCGTTAGCCCAACCCCACAAAATCCTCCTATTCTTTGAAGGATCAAAGAAAGTCTTGGAAGCATAAAAGTTTCCATAATCCAATCGCAACCCAGCTCGACCATCCACCGAAGTATTATCAGGCACGTACCTATCTTTCTCAGGAAAATATTTCCCAAGTGTATAGTACTCATACCTAGTCTCATCAAGGCTCACTTTCAAAATATGTTTCACATCCTCACCAACTTTTGATGTGTCCACTCCACTCCTCCCATTCAATGCCAAAGGAAAAAAGTCGGGGCACTCCCACATGCCAGTTTCGGGAGCAGAGTGAAGAGGGTGTTTGGCCTTCACCCAGTACTTGAAATCAATACTTCTATACAACCAAGCCATCCCTCTATGCTTTCTCTTGCCACCCACCAAAATCCTCCAATGACCATTATGCCACCATGCAGTTGTTGGGTCACGAAATTGGCTCGAGTTCATCTCCTGGCTAGGGACTACTAGGGGGTTGTCATCGGGTTTGATCCATTCACGAAGGAAGGGGTCGGAGTAATTGGCTGGAACGGCGTAGTTTTGGATCTGACGCTTGTCCGCATCAAGTCCTGTGTAGAGGATGATGGGCTTGTTGCCTGGAAGAATGGTGGCGGAGCCGGACCAAGTGCCGTTTATGTCAAAGGGTTTGGAAGGGTATATGGCTGGGGGGAGGGCTTCCCAGTTGATGAGATCTTTAGATACTGAGTGAGCCCACACAATGTTGCCCCATACTGCACCTTTGGGGTTGTACTGGTAGAACAAGTGGTAGATACCATTGAAGTACATGGGTGCTATAAATTTGCAAAAGAGAAATTAATTTGAGGGTTATATTTCTAGATTTTGGAAAGAAAAAAAAAGGGGAGGCAAAAAGTCTTCAATTTGTTATAATAATTAAGCACTAATTTTTCAAATTTACATGAATTCAATGTCGGGGAAAGAGTACTCACCATTTGGGTCTGTTGGTAATTATATCAGAATATTGGCCGGCATGGAAAAAAACACAAGATTAAAGTCAGTGAGTGTAACATTAATAATCAATGGTTAAAGGGATGATAGAATTTATATAAAACACAGTTCGTATTCGTATCGTGCTTACCGTTAATCCAGTGCTTGGGAGGTTGAAAGTGATACCCAGTTCTATGGAGTTGCTTCACCTCCACGGCAGCAGCATTCTGAAGCCTGGAGTATATGTTGTGTGAGGCCTCAACTCCATTGTTGTTTATGACCAGAAAAACAGAAGCAGCAAAGACAAAAATCAGAGCCAACTTTTTATTGAAAGTATCCATTAGAGCCTGCAGAGAATGTATCAAGGGGAAGGAAGATTGAAAAAAGATCGGGGAATACTTTGGGATAAATAGGCCTTGGGTTATCTATATATAGCAATCCGGACGGTTGCATGAAGATATATATGAGTATTTGGAGCTGTTTTCCTTATTGGATTAGGGTTGGATGTTTGTTTTTTCGTTAAGGTTTACGACAGGATATGCTTGAAAGAGATACAACCTTATTATCTATAGACTGAAGTGTTATCTGGCAAATGATTCGTATGAATGGTTTTCCCGTAATTCCTCAACAAGAGCTTCCATAGGCTGTTGGTTTTTGCAAGGCATTGCAAATATGTTTGAGTTGAAATTAGTCCCACATTGGAAAATTATAGTTCCTTGAGGTCCTGTTTGGTGGGCTGGATTGGACAAGACTTTTTCAATTAAAATGGATTAAAATCTTGTCTGTCATTTGGTGAGCTTAACTGCACAACGGGACTGGTTAGGACTCATATTTCCTATTGTATAACAATCCAGCAAACCCTAGTATTGTAAACCTGAGAGGAACCACGGGTTTAGAACGACATCGCCTCCTTTCTCCTTCAATCGTCTACGGCCTCTCTCCTTCGTTCTTCTACGCCCCTGCCTCCGCCTATGCTTTTTTGAATGAGCCTTGATGTTATCCAAGATTTCTTAAATAGATTCGCGCTCCTGCTCATGCACACCTGTAGGAGGATTAATAAATGTCATGACATTCCAATTTCATCATTGTTCAAATCGAAATGCATAAATCCCAAAAGAAAACAACCAAATTCTACAGTGATTATAACTGCATTATTTCTAAAAAAGAAAAATATATATATAGCAAAGCAGCATATAGTAGATTGTAGGATATACAACCCCCAGATAATGAAACAAACAAATTATTTGTATGTCATCCACTCTCTCAGCCACTTTTCAAACCGCAAATTTTTTGGAATGTGTACAACTAATAGGCACTTGATTACCAATCGGATCACAGTAACATTTCATTTACACAGTTAAAACATTTATTAAAGAACACTAATCATAAACGTTGCCACACATTTACATATAAAAACTCATGCTGTTTTTGATTTGTTACATTGTGATATCTAGGGTCCACACAAAGTTCCCATACATTCAAGGGCACGTTTCTTTCTTACCATTGTAGATTATTTTACTAAATGCACATGGCTGTTTCTGATGCAACACAAGTCTGAGACACAAAATATTCTCAAGTCCTTTGTCATATTTGCTTGTACTCAGTTTCATGCCACCATTAAAGCTATCCGAGTAGACAATGGTTCTGAATTTATGTCAATGAGAGATTTTTTCCAAACTGTAGGCATCGAATATCAACGCACTCGTGTTTACACTCCACAACAAAATGAAGTTGTTGAACGCAAGCATCACCATATTCTCATTGTAGCGCACGCCTTGCGTTTCCAATCCCAATTACCTCTTACTTTCTGGGGTGAATGTGTCTTGATCGCTGTCTATCTCATTAACCGCCTACCCTCCCCACTATTATCCACCAAATCCCCTTTTGAAGTACTATACAATCACCCATCATCATTTGATCACTTGAGAGTTTTTGGTTGCCTCTGTTATGCAATGGTTGTGCAGCCTACTCATAAATTTGACCCTCGTGCTCAACGTTGCATATTTGTTGGCTACCCCATTGGTCAGAAAGGTTACAAACTTTACAATTTAGAGACCAAGAAATTTCTTGTAAGTCATAATGTCAAGTTTTGTGAAAACATTTTTCCTTTTTCCTAAATTCCCAACCCCACTACTCCTAGTTTTGTGCAGCCCAACTTTCCACCTCTTGGCCGTGACGACGGACCACTGGGCCCAGCACACCCAACCCACTGAGCCAAGCCTACCTGACGCGCCTCCAGCAGCGTCACCCCGTGACCCTGTGCCTGACGAGCCTGCCAATCTTGACAACCTTATTCGACCCGTATCCTCCTAGCCCTCCTTACACGCCCATCAGACCTATCCCCTCTTCTAGTCGATCCAACCTTGCCTTTTTCACCCACTCTGGAATTCTCTCTGATGCCTAACCATCCCGCTAAACCAACTCCTTCTGTTCCCCTTCCACGCCAGTCACTTCGCCCTAAGCAACCTCTTGTATGGCATAAAGATTACCACATGTCCAACCAAGTCAGTCACTCAACTTCAGTGCTTTGTTCTGCATCAGGTACTTAATATCCACTCTCTCACTTCCTTTTCATACTCCAGTTTTTCTTTCGCACATTCTTCTTTTCTTGCTAACATTTCAGGTCACACTGAACCTACATCATATGCTCAGGCTATCCTTGATCCAAATGGCAACATGCCATGAGTACATAGTTAGAGGCTTTGCAGCACAATAACACTTGGAGTTTGGTTCCTCTACCCATTGGCCATAAACCGATCGGCTGCAAATGGGTTTACAATAATACAAGTCTAATGACACCATTAAGCGCTACAAAGCTCGCCTTGTTGCTAAAGAATACACTCAAGTTGAGCGCATTGACTACCAAGAAACCTTTTCTCCTATAGCTAATGTAACATCCCACATCGACCAACGGAGAGGGGGTGATGTGCCTTATATGTACATGCCCGCCTTCATCTAGCACGAGGCCTTTTGGGAGCTCACTGGCTTCGGAGTCATGGGAACTCTGAAGTTAAGCGAGTTAGGACTAAAGCAATCACAGGATGGGTGACCCATAGGGAAGTTGCTTGTGAGTTCACAGAAACAAAACCGTGAGGGCAGAGAGGAAGGCCCAAAGCGGACAATATCGTGCTACGGCGGAGCCGATCTGGGGATGTGACAATTCGGTATTAGAGCCACTCTGTCGTGTGGTGCGAGTTTGATGACGAGGACGTCGAGCTGCTAAGGGGGGTAGATTGTAACATCCCACATCGACCAACGGAAAGGGGGTGATGTGCCTTATATGTACATGCCCGCCTTCATCTAACACGAGGCCTTTTGGGACCTCACTGGCTTCGGAGTCATGGAAACTCCGAAGTTAAGCAAGTTGGGGCTAGAGCAATCACAGGATGGGTGACCCACTGGGAAGTTGCTTGTGAGTTCACAGAAACAAAACCGTGAGGGCAAAGATGAGGGCCCAAAGCGGACAATATCGTGCTATGGCGGAGCCGATCCCGGGATGTGACAGCCAAACTCACCAACCTTTGTTATCTGTTAACTGTTGCTACTACCTGTTGCTACTACCTGTCATTGGTTCAAAACGTCTTTCTTCATGGAAATTTCCTTGAAGTGGTATAGATGGAACCTTTTCCTGGTCTTCGCCAACGATGGGAGAACACTGTATGTGGGCTCAACAAGTCCCCTTATGGACTCAAACAGGCTTCTAGAAACTAGTTCTCCACTTTTTCAGACATCATTTAGAAAGGTGCTTATCAACAATCAAAGGTTGATTACTCCATTTTCACCAAAGCTCAAGGCACTTCATTTACTGTAGTACTTATCTATGTTGACGACATACTTCTCACATGCAATGATCTTAAAAAATGGAACATCTCAAAACATTCCTTCTGAAATGTTTCCACGTCAAAGATCTTGGAAATTTGAAATATTTTTTTGGTGTTGAATTCTCCCATTTCAAGAAAGTTTTTATGTCTCAGAGAAAATACGCACTAGATATTTTGCAAGATTCAGGACTTTTGAGGACATACCCAGACAAGTTTCTAATGGAACATAATTTGAAACTTACTCCCATAGATGGAGCACTACTGCATGATCCAACTAAGTACAAAAGACTAGTTGGTAGACTAATTTATCTCACTATCACAAGGCCTGACATAGCCTGTTTCGTTCGAACATTGAGCGTGTGAAGACCCGTATTTAAAAAAAATATATGAAGAATAAATATTTTGCTGCATATTTAGTTATATATTTAAATTGATTATATATATAGTTGTTTTACCATTTTAATAATTATATGTATTTTATTATATTTAAATATGTATATAAGAAGCATGAGGTGGATAACATAAGCTGGAGGGGCACCATTCCTTGGTTGCTTAAAGGACGTGTAAACGCATAAGGTTGTTGCCTTGTTATCCAAGTGGCTAGCTATCTTTATTTCATCAAAATATTATCCTAATACCAAATGTTAGCACTTATCCTTAACCGCCAAACACATCAACCAATGATAGAATGATAGTTGCTGACTTTATTCTAGTATAAATAGGGAGCTTGCATTTACAAGTTGTTTACTACTACATCTAGAGATAACATGCATGCAACATAATAGTTGTTAGAGGGGACTAAAGAGAGATGCAAGGAAATTTGATATTGGAGGAGATAGGTAAATGGGTTGTCTTGCCAATTTATTTTAAGGGTTATTATTATCAAGGTGATTGGTTTATGTAATATGTTCTAAAAGTTCTTATTTTGCGATAAAATATGAAAACCATGAATTATCGTGGATTTTTTATATTTACAAATCTCTCTCTATTTCAAGTCAAGCATGTCTAATTTGGTGCAATCTTTTACCACATATATATATATTGATTGAAATATTTGTGAAGTACGTATTATTCATGGAACATGAGAACTTCAATGTTGGGGTATCCAAGAGATAGATGTACCACACGGGGACATAGGGCAATGAGGCCAATAGGGGTCATGTGGTTGGTTACATGTTATGAAGGATAACCGAGATATGATCTGGATTGGTGTATCTTTTGTAGAGTGTGTAAAATGGCATTACTTGACTGTCATATTACATAATCTACTCACTGAGTGGTGGTTGCTCATCCCTCACCCTGTTTAACTTTTCAGATGAATTAGTGGGCAAAACAAGGACTAAACCTGTTGAGGCTAAATTAGATGAGAGTGATAGAGCTTTATTTATTCATTGTAAAGTTGTAAGATTTTGGAGCTATTTTTATAAGAGAAGTTTATTTTAAATCATGTTTCGTTTTTTATTATTTTTATTTTATAATTTTTTTCTCACGCACCAGCTGCGAGATTTCCACCAACCCTTGAGTCTGGGGCATGACAGAGCAAATATCAACCTTGAAAACTTCATTGGGATACTACCTTACGAGATTCCTCCACAGATTTCTTCAACTCATCTTTCTCTTTGTTTCTCTGCGTCCTTTCCTCTGTCTAATACTAATTTTTCTCTTATCTTCTCTCCTCCTTTCTCAATCTTTCTTGATAGAAATGAGTTCTTTTGTTCTCTTTTCCTTTGATGGGTTTTTGAAAGAAAATAAGGTTTGTTCTCTTTTCCTTTGATATGTATCCTTCCTGTTATAGTTGGATTTAAGCCCTTTATCCTGGATTACATTGATTGTCTTCATCTAATGATATATTGTAAATATCTGGAGACTTTCTTTTATGAAATTTAGGTAGGTATTGGAGGTTTCCTGTGCAGCAGCCAAATTTCACTTCTTTGGTTTTTGGATTTGGACTTTACATTTTCAATGACATTTTACAGGCATTAGCATTTTGGGGTTATCTAGAAGTCAAGTTTTCTGGATCTAAGGCCATTTCCAGCAGCCCCCTCGGGCTGGGGGGGGGGGGGGGAGCCCAAATGCAAGTTCCAGCAACAAAGGCTGGCCCGGGCAGTGTGGGGTCCACTTGCCTGGGCTGGCCCCAAGGCGAAGGCAGCCCGAGCAGCAGCCCGAAGGCAGCTGACGTCAGCGTGACGTCAGCAGGCGCGAAATTTTTTTTTTTCTTTCAGCTGCCACGTGGCGCGACCTGGTCCTTCCGATTTCCGAATTTTCATCCAATCCAACGGCCTGGAATTTTTCAAGGCAAAAAATTATGAAAAAAATCTTAAAAAATTTTAAAAAAACCCCAAAAAATACTGAATTTTTTTTTATAAAATACCAATCCATACTCTTCACTTTTAACAACAAATTCACTTTCTACTAAATAATTTTTTCACTTTCAACTCTAAATTTTTCTCACTTTCAAGTTTAATTATTCACTTTCTACTCAATAATTTTTCACTTTCAACTCAAAATTTTTTTCACTTTCAAGTTTAATTATTCACTTTCTACTCAATAATTTTTTCACTTTCAACTCTAAATTTTTTTCACTTTCAAGTTTAATTATTCACTTTCTACTCAATAATTTTTTCACTTTCAACTCTAAATTTTTTTCACTTTCAACTCTAAATTTTTTTCACTTTCAAGTTTAATTTTTCTCTATCAAAGAAACTATTAAATAAAATTCCTTTTTATTCAAAACATTCCATACATTAAAAAAACTAACCACAACCAAAGCATTAAATATATAAAAACAAACAAACTACAACCAAAGCATAAAAAAATTTATCTGAAATTTGAAACCGAAAATCTTATCTGAAAATCTTATCCGAATATTTTATCAGAAAATCTCATCCGAATATATTGTCAAAATTAATTGTTTAGGTAAACAAATTTGTGAAAAAAACAAAAAATTGAATAGTACCCCCCCTTGCCCTGGCAACTGCTGGAAGTGCAACTTACTTTTTGCAAGGGCAGACACTATTCCCGTGAATAGTACCCCCCCTTGCCCCCCCTTGCCATGGCAACATTTTGACTGCTGGAAATGCCCTAAGAAGTAATGGTAGTTGGGTTTTCTCTTTTAATTGAAAAGAACACTGCTTTATTATAGGTTTAGGTGTTTGGTTAAGTTTAGATCTTAAACAATATCAGTGGGACTTTTGCTCCTTTTAATTCATCACTGCCAGTGTTTGGTTATGAAATTTTGCATATTTTTTACGGTATCAACATTGATACTGAATCATACCGATTCCGTTTGGGTTCAGTATGTTTTGAACATCTTTTCAAAAACTCACATCCCGTGTCATCCTATCTTGATTTCTCTATTCGGGATTGACATTGGGATGACCTCCATCCCGTGTCATCTCGTACCGTGCCCAGCCTTAATGGCTAATGCTTGTTTAGATCTGACTTGGTTGCACTACATATTACAGGATTTAAAGGTCCCACAAACAGCTCATGTGCCATTATTTTGTGATAATCAGGCAGCTTGGTATGTTGCAGCAAATCTTGTTTTTCATGAACTTACAAAGCACATTGAAATAGATTGTCACATAGTTCGAGAAAAAGTGCAAGCATGAATGATTAGTCCTTCATATGTACCTACATGCTTCCAGCTGACAGATTTGTTTACGAAGGCCTTGGGAAAGGGATTAGTTTGTGATACTACGAGACAAATTGGGTTTTCATGATATTCACTCTCCAATTTGAGGGGAGTGTTACGAAATATTGTTGTATTAGGAAATACTGCAATATATTTACTTTCCTGTATTATTCTAGATCAAATCCCACCTAAAGTGGATCACGGCTTCTAAGCCTAGGAAATAGGAATTGTACATGTATATATAACTTGGTTTGTAGACCTTTGTCAATACAACAAGAATATTCAAACAAATCTCTTATTTCTTGAGAGATAACACAAAAAAAAAATACACAGTAGCCGCAATGCCAAATATAAGTACAACATCTCTAGTGACCATACACAAAATAACAAATCGGTTTGATTCAAAGAGAATTGCGCATGCCAGAAAAACCTAAAACCTCCAATTTGGAAAACAAAAGCACATGTACTTAGACCTACAATACAAATCCACCGGGCAATGGCGGTAAATGGCAAATCCGAGGTTTAAAGACATATATTTTGTGCCTTAATATGCATTAATTCTTTCTCCTTTTTCTTTCTTTGATTTGAAAATCAACTTCATTAATGAATAAATGTTTACAATAAGTACTTGATTAATTTAACCAAGCATGAATTTTCGTGTGATTAAATCCTAAACATTCTATTATATATGCTCAGAATTCTAAGTTTTGGTTCATCTGTTGAGGAGCATTCATACTCCATGCGGTGAGGGTCTGGACTGTAACAGGCTCAGTTCCATTGTTGAAGACGAACAAGTGAGCAGCATCGTTAATGGCTAGTGTGGGATAAACCCTTGAGGTGATGCATGTTTTTCCTCCAGCTCCGAAACTTTCAACAACTGAATGATCAATCTGCAGTTAAAAAAAAGAAGAACGAAAATAGTTATTAGTTATTAATTAAGGAATTAATAATATAAATGAGTTACCAATTGAGAAAGGAAGTGAAGGGATTAAGTTTTCGTACCAAACTCCTCAGTGAAATCTTCTTATCAGCAGATAAATCTACATCTACAAAGCCAGCAAATGATGGTCTATACAACTTTTCATTAAACGGCCTCAATGAAGAACTGACATCAAATAAAATTAAGGGTTAACGAATGTGAAGGAATAGGTCCACGGTGAGTACAGAAAAATGGAAGTACGTCGATGTTATCAAATATCAATAATGTATCAAATACTGTAAACTACAATCATTTTTCAATAATAAATTAAGAAGAATATGACAAAGACAAACCTTTTTGCGTCAGAGCACATGAGAACCTTATGCTTATTCTCTTTAGTTTTAAAAACTCTAAAGAAGACAGGAGTAAACTCCTCTAGGTTTTGAGAAGCCAGTGTCAAGAGCCCGAATGGACCGATGCCACCAGGAACATCAGAACGCCTTAGGCTGCAGACGGTTTGGGCATCGAGGTTGGCCCAGTTAGGATCAAACTCCTCAGCTTTGTCCAAACTCCCTAAGGAGAAGGTAACTTCAACGTCGGCCTGAGCAGCAGTTATTCCTTTTACTTCAACATGCTGTCCCTGTTCCACATTTTGATTGCTCATGTCCACCTTTTGCCCCCTCAAAGTTTCTAATTCTTTGATAGGCCATTGCACCACTTGTTTAGCGTCGGGGCTTAGCCACACCACCCTTGGAATTGTCTACAAAATTATAACAATCCAAAAAATGAAGCTATCTTAGTATATATGGTAGTGCACATATATAATTGCGCTATACAAAGTAAGGAGAAAATGAAACTATAGGATTGGTTGGTGAGTTGGATTATATGATTGGATACGATTCACAATCCTATGGTGGTCTTAAAACAACATGGATTTGATTATGTCTAATACTACAAGGTGCAAATCTAATTGGATTATGAATCCCACCAAAGATTTTGTTTTAACTTGGATGAGATTATGTCGAATTCTGTTAGGCCATATAAATAACACACTTCAATCCAAACATATCATTGGATTAGTGTTATGCTCTCCAATCCAATTTTACCTCATAATCCAACTTAATCTCAATCCCGGAACATGTCCTTAATCGAATGACAAAAAAAAATACAAAATAAAAAGTTAGCAATCACCTGAACTCCAGCCCATCCCTTAGCTTTATCATCGTCAGCAGCATCTGACTCGTTAGCCCAACCCCACAAAATCCTCCTATTCTTTGAAGGATCAAAGAAAGTCTTGGAAGCATAAAAGTTTCCATAATCCAATCGCAACCCAGCTCGACCATCCACCGAAGTATTATCAGGCACGTACCTATCTTTCTCAGGAAAATATTTCCCAAGTGTATAGTACTCATACCTAGTCTCATCAAGGCTCACTTTCAAAATATGTTTCACATCCTCACCAACTTTTGATGTGTCCACTCCACTCCTCCCATTCAATGCCAAAGGAAAAAAGTCGGGGCACTCCCACATGCCAGTTTCGGGAGCAGAGTGAAGAGGGTGTTTGGCCTTCACCCAGTACTTGAAATCAATACTTCTATACAACCAAGCCATCCCTCTATGCTTTCTCTTGCCACCCACCAAAATCCTCCAATGACCATTATGCCACCATGCAGTTGTTGGGTCACGAAATTGGCTCGAGTTCATCTCCTGGCTAGGGACTACTAGGGGGTTGTCATCGGGTTTGATCCATTCGCGAAGGAATGGGTCGGAGTAATTGGCAGGAACGGCGTAGTTTTGGATCTGACGCTTGTCCGCATCGAGTCCTGTGTAGAGGATGATGGGCTTGTTGCCTGGGAGAATTGTGGCGGAGCCGGACCAAGTGCCATTTATGTCAAAGGGTTTGGAAGGGTATATGGCTGGGGGGAGGGCTTCCCAGTTGATGAGATCTTTAGATACTGAGTGAGCCCACACAATGTTGCCCCACACTGCACCTTTGGGGTTGTACTGGTAGAACAAGTGGTAGATACCATTGAAGTACATGGGTGCTGTAAATTTGCAAAAGAGAATTAATTTGAGTGTTATCTTTCTAGATTTTGGAAAAAAAAGAATAAAAAAAAGAGGCAAAAAGTCTTTCATGTTGGGAAAGAGTACTCACCATTTGGGTCTGTTGATAGTTATCAGAATATTGGCCGCCATGGAAAGGAACACAAGATAAAAGTCAGTGAGTGTAACATTAATAATCAATGGTTAAAGGGATGATAGAATTTATGTAAAACACAGTTCGTATTAGTATCGTACTTACCGTTAATCCAGTGCTTTGGAGGCTGAAAGTGATACCCAGTTCTATGGAGTTGGTTCACCTCAACGGCAGCAGCATTCTGAAGCCTGGAGTATATGTTGTGTGAGGCCTTAACGCCATTGTTGTTTATGACCAGAAAAACAGAAGCAGCAAAGACGAAAACCAGACCCAACTTTTTATTCAACGTAGTATCCATTAGATCCATAGAAACTGCAGAGAATGTATCAAGGGAAGGAACTAGATTGAAAAAAGATCGGGAAATGCTTTGGGATAAATAGGGCTTGGGTTATCTATATATAGCACTAGACTTTGAGAGAAAAAGAGTTTGAAATTCTTGACGCCATGCATACCCTACATTACAAAACAAGAAAAACCAATCAGGACGGTTGCATTAGAGTTGTTTTCCTTACTGGATTAGAGTTGGATGTTTGTTTTTTTGGGTTAAGGACAGGTATGTTTGAAACACAAACAACCTTATTATCTATAGAAAGCTTGTGCAGGTTTTTTGGACATTTGTTTTCTGCTTCAGTTCTTATCTATAAGCTTAACAGTACTTCATATAAACTTCGGTTTTATCGGTGGATTGGGTTCTTATCTCATTTTTTGGATATCCATATACCTATTGTAGCGGATTATTTTAGGGTATAGAATCATCTTTTGTAGGGCTTCAAGTTAGGACTTTGACCCTTGGACATGGGATTTAGGATAAGTGTTATCAGGCACACTATTGATGTTGGCAATCCAAGTATTTTAGCTTTAATGTTTATTTTATGTGAAAATTATTTATGCACTTACAAGAGAATTGATATATGCTTGGAAGAAATATTTATAATGAGCCGATTTGACTTAAGACCAAAGATATTTATTCCAATCGTGAGGTAACAGGATTGTTTTGTGCCTTAATGTTTCCCGTTGCCTTTTATCTATTTGATACAAAAGAAAAAGTAAGGGACTTTGCCATATAAGGGCAAATAGGAGGGTTAAAATGGTCCAACATCTCCAAAATTAAACAAATCGGTCTAGTTACTTTCTGACAATGATATTGAACAACTCTCGTGTCACTCATTGAGAGTGACATTGAACAAGCCGGTCCCATTTTGCATATAGTTTTTTTCACTGGACCAGAAACATGGCCAAAGGGTGCCACATTGTGCCTCTATAATCAATCGGCATGCTAGGTTCAACTACTTGAAGCTATTACGACGCTTCAATGGACAACTATTTTTATCCATTTTCGGTTTTTTTAAAATATCTCATTTACAACGCGACCATTGCTTAGAGTTTAGAATTGTACATTTAAGAGCTCAAATCTTGGTTTCTAAGCCGGCTTTGGGTTTTGGACTGTACAAATTTCGTAAAAACCTAGCATTCAAGCGATATGAGTCGATCAATCGGTAAGAGAAAAAAAAACGACATGGGTGGATTGACCACCGATGGATCAGAAGTTGCATCCCCAAAAGAAAAAAAAACAGTATATGATCTTTAAGATAAGAGAAGAAATGTATATAGTCAATCAAAATGGGATTCAAACATCGCATTATATATATTATATATGGTGAGGAAAGCCAAGGACGACCTTCCAAGTACAATCCAAAAAACACCCATAAGACTAAGCCCGTGTTTGGCCAATGAGTGGGAAATAGCCTCGTTTGTATCCCTAGATTACTATAAGATGCCTGATTGCATCATATCTATTCTCTGCTCAGAAGTTTAAATTTTGGTTCATTAGCTTAGGAGGACTCATGCTCCATGCGCTGAGGGTCTGTACAGAAACAGGCTCTGTCCCATTGTTGAACACAAACAAGTGAGCAGCATCGTTGACAGCTAATGTGGGATAAACCCTGGACAAGATGCATGTTTTTCCTCCAGCTGCGAAACTTTCGACAACGGAATGATCAATCTGCAATTGGAAAGAAAAAAAGGACATTAGTTATGAGTTCTTGAAAAACTTTTTTACTTATAAAAATGAATTACAATTAAACTGAGAAAAAGAAAGGGTTAAAGGTAATTCGTACCAAACTCCTTAGAGAAATCTTCTTCTCAGCTGCTAAATCTACATCTACATAGCCAGCAAATGATGGTCTATACTGTTTGATGTCAAACGGCCTCAAAGTTGAACTGCTCCATCCAATTAATTAGTTTATTTTTTTTTTTTTTTTTTTTTTTTTTTTTTTAACAATAAAGAAAAGTTGAGCTAATAGTTGAAGGTAGGAGGACAGAGACAAACCCTTTTGCATCAGAGCACATGAGAACCTTATGCTTATTGTCTTTAGTTTTAAAAACCCTAAAGAAGACAGGAGTGAACTCCTCTAGGTTTTGTGAAGCCAACGTCGCGAGCCCAAATGGACCGACGCCCCCTTGAACATGCGAACGCTTTAGGGCACAAACTGATTCGGCGTCAAGCTTTTCCCAGTTAGGGTCAAACTCCTCAGCTTTGTCCAAGCTCGCCAGCGAGAATGTAACATCAACGTCAGCCTGAGCAGCGGTTATTCCTTTAACTTCAACAAGTTTTCCCGGTATCATATTTTGAATACTTTTCAAGTCGACCTTTTGTCCCCTCAAAGTTTCTAATTCTGCAACAGGCCATTGGAGCACTTGTTTCCCATCAGGGCTCAGCCACACCTCCCTTGGAATTGCCTGCAAAATTATAACACCCATAAAAAATTAATAAATGCCAATATATAGTAATGTTGTCTACAATAGTTCATAAATATAGCATTTCTTCAACAATTCTAAAAAGCAATCACATTTTTAATACGACAATAATGAATCACCGGCAGCTGAAAGGAAAAAGATGTAGGCCCAGAAACCATACCTGAATTCCAGCCCATCCCTTAGCTGTATCATCGTCAGCTGTATCAGACTCATTAGCCCAACCCCACAGGATCCTCCTATTCTTTGAAGGATCAAAGAAAGTCTTGGAAGCATAAAAATTCCCATAATCCAATCTCAACCCATCCCTACCATCAACCGAAGTGTTATCTGGCAAATAGATATCACCCTCAGGATCATATTTCCCGACTGTGTAATATTCATAGCGAGTCTCATCAAGGCTCACTTTGAACACATGCTTCACGTCCTCACCAACTTTTGATGTGTCCAGTCCATTCTTCCCATGCAACGAAACGGGGAAAAAATCGGGGCACTCCCACATGCCAGTTTGGGAGGCAGAGTGGAGAGCATGCTTGGCCTTGACCCAGTGCTTGAAGTCATTGCTCCGATAAAGCCACGCCATCCCTCTGTGCTTTCTCTTGCCACCCACCACCATTCTCCAATGGCCGCCGTGCCACCATGCAGTCGTGGGGTCACGGAATTGGCTGGCGTTCATGTCTGAGCCGGGGAGGACGAGGGGATTGTCGTCCGGCTTGAGCCATTCCCGGAGGTAGGGGTCGGATACGTTGGCCGGAACGGCGTAGTTTTGGATCTGTCGCTTGTCGTTGTCGAGGCCGGTGTAGAGGATGACGGGGCGGTTGCCAGGGAGGATGGTGACGGAGCCGGACCAAGTACCGTTTACGTCGAAGGGCTTGGAGGGGAAGATGGCGTGGGGTAGGGCTTCCCAGTTGATGAGGTCTTTGGAGATTGAGTGGGCCCACACAATGTTTCCCCACACAGAACCTTTGGGATTGTATTGGTAGAAAAGGTGGTAGAGACCATTGAAGTACATGGGTCCTGTGCAATTTGCAGTCAAAAGTTAATTAAGGAGATCCAATTAACTGCTGTTGAGAAGTTTTAATATTGTTAATGCCAAAGATTACTCACCATTTGGGTCTGTGGATGGTTGGTTTATCAGCCGCGCGCCATGGAAATATCCGAAAGCAAAACAAGAGTCAGTCAGTGAAGTAATTTATGAATGAACAACTTTAAAATACCAATTGCTTGAATTAATATTGTTCGTGATCACAGTAAAGATGTTAGGGACGAAACAAGCAAATTAACAAATCTCACATGCATTAATTACACATAAATGCATCTCAACCCCGAGAAAAAGAGAAATTTTTGTATGTTCATGGGACATGTGGAAATACAATTAATTTTAGAGAATATTTCCACTGTTCCATGTGTATTGGATGATACACCAACCGTAACATACAAAAATTACTCAAAAAAGGCAACCTATAGACATCAATTTTCTTTCCAAATACATTTTAATTTCCCTTATTAAACGAAAGTGAAATATACCAAACTCTTAATTCTTTTTTTACAATTTATGTACCCGTATATCAGAAAAACTTAATGATTTATTTGAAAAAACGATAACACCAGTCAGAATGTTTTATAAGACAATACCGTTAATCCAGTGCTGTGGAGGTTGAAAATGGTAGGCAGTTCTGTGGAGTTGCTTCACCTCCCCGGCAGGAACACTTTGAAGCCTAGAGTATATCCTATGGGACGCTTCTACTCTATTATCGTTAATTGTGACCAACAAAACACACGAAGCAAATAATAAAACGGGAACTAGCTTTCTTACGAAATCCATATTTACAACATGCAGTGAAGAAAGAAGAGGAAAAATTCTGGTATAAATAGGGGTTGAGATATCTATAAATAGCGCTGGAGACTCAGCGACAGACAAGGTGGTACTGGCAGTGGCGATCTATAAGGGTAAAGCGAGAGGTCCAAATTAAATTAAGATGGATGTTTTAAAATTTACATCAAAAAACATTAATGGTATTGCTTGTTAATGTGGAGAATAATAAGGATTAGGTTTGGATTAAGTCTCCTATTACATATTAAGGGAAATTCAACAACCTGACTTATGACTCGGATTTGACGCCTGACCACCAAGCCATCTACATATCTCCTTCAAGTTCCTTTCAAGAAGAAGGGAAATTTGGATTATTAATTGGGTTATTTTTTTGTTAGGAATATTTGGACATTTTGGTAGTCTCTTTTTCTTTTTCTAATGATGATTGGACAACATATTAAAATGATTTATTAACGGTGATTTACTATATAAAGACAAATAGAAGGGCGCTAAGACAAAATAGTCCAGTCTCTCAAAAATTGAACAAATCAGTCCAGTCACTATCCGACATTAATATGAGATAATTCTTATGTCACTCTCAATGAGTGACATTGAACAACACTCGGGTCACTATCTGACAGTGACATAAGAGTTATTTAATGTCATTGTCGGACAGTGACTGGACCGATTTGTCTAATTTTGAAGGGACTGTACCATTTTAACATTTTGTCTTGTGTGAATGACTTTTTATTATTATCATTTTCTGTTTATTAATTGAATGGCTAGATCATCTCCGCTACGTACCTTGCTTATCTTTTTTTCTTTTGGTACAATTTTTGGTGCCATCTGGATTGCCTTTTCTAATGCACTAGTATTATGAATAATTTGGATGTTTTTGTTTATAATTGAGTGGCTTCTCTTACTTTCTTTACAATTTTTAGATGTATATACGTATTGAATAATACTAGTCTTGGCTTTTGAAAAAAGAAGAGGAATTCCGTCTGAAATCAATATGTGACCAATTGAAAATGGACAGTTGTCCAACCAATGAAAAATAATATAAACAATAAATAATTCGGTATAAGTCCAATTCTATATGATATAATTTGGGTGCAATCCACACATGTGTTGTTATATTTTTTCTAAAATTACATTCCACATAGGATTACAATGCCACATAGGATTACATTCCTTTTCTAATTTTATAATGTAATCATATATATTTTTTCTTTTTAAATTTATTTTCATGTTCCAATTATGCCCTCATGATTTAAATCGATAAAGACTGATTTATATCATAATAATTAGCTAATTAATACAACTATTGATTCTTATTGCAATTCATAAACGGGTAAGAAATTAATTTAAGGCCAATAATTACTATATTTGACCTTTTAATTAATTATGATTTGAATTTATAAAATATTTTCTTGTCTATCCATTTTAATTTTGAAAATTCCATAAACATGCGCTAATACCTAAAAATAAAATAAATAAAATAAAAAATTCCTATAATCTTTCTTCTTCATCTTGTTCATCTTCTTCTTTCTTCTTCCTTCTTTTTCTTCTTACAATCCTATGGAGGAGGTTTAATTATCTATGGACTAGGAATATACATGAATTTTAATTGGGTATGGATAGGTAAATTACCTATGGAGGAGGTATACATATGAATGCTATTTATCCATGGATATGAATGTTATTTACCTATGGAGGAGATATATGATATGAAATTACTTATGAAGGAGGTAAATCAAACCACCTGAAGACATATATACCTCACCATAAGGTATTCACTAGTTGAAAGCATTTCATAAATTGAGATTAATTGTAGAAATGTGATATTAATTTATTGATTGCAGTAATTAATAAAATTTAGGGTATGTTTACATATCAGTAATGGGTATGGAAGGAAAGGGAATGATTTCCATTACTGACTTCTCCTGCATTTACTTGCAATCAGAAATGAAAAAATAAGTGAGCCCCACCTCAAAATCCATAATCACATTCCCTCAAAACTAGGAATCAGATCAACTACGGGGGAGTAGTCGATATGATTCTCATTCATGTTTTCTCTTAATAACTTCCAAAAATACCCTTATCACTTTATCATAATTCTAAAATTAATTTGGATTCTGATTCATGCAAATTAGTAAACAATAACAATGGGAATCAATCTCATTCCATTGATAATTCTATATGTTTAGTAAACAACTTAATGGGAATGATTCTTCCCATACCGATTCAGTAGTTCTCCGATTCCTAAATTCTTTGATTCCTTAGTTTCTCCATTACTGATACGTAAACATGCCCTTAGAGGACTGACTGTACAATGGCAACATGTGTAAATATTTTAAAAACAGTAGCCAAGGTTTTGCATACTTGGCTGGCGTGTTGAGTTGCTGGACTCAATTCTACATCAAAAGAGAGGTGGATTGCATTCATAGTGCTCAAAATTGAACCTATATCGAAAGACCCCTATAAACAAAAACTTAAAAAGTAACACCAAGAAGCAAGAGTCCTACTTGACAGTGTCCAAGATTTTAAACCTCCCTCTTTTTTAAGGAACCAAGCATCATTGGTACGTATGTACTGTAAGTTGTTTAATGGCATTATCAATATATAATGGCGGAACTGTGAACTTAATTATCTTCATTTCATATTTTTTTTATGGGAGGGGAACAAAATATGTAAGGCCAAATTTGTAGTTTTAATCCATTAAAAAAATAATAATAATAATAAAAACTCACCCTATAGACACACAGACTAATCTCTTCTTAGGTTATTCCAAACAAGGTTTCAACAAAATAAAAGTATCAGCTCTTCATATGATTAGAATATGTAGATGCTAATTAAAGTTAACAATAGATGAAATTATTTTTTGCTGTCTACAACCACCAACAACGCCATGTGTTATGATACATAGATCCTTATTTCCTAGCTCTCAGGCTACATTATTCTACATCATCTTCTTCTAGACCCTAAACCTATGCGTTCATCTGTTGAGGAGCATTCATACTCCATGCAGTGAGGCTCTCTACAGTAATAGTCTCAGTCCCATTGTTGAACACAAACAAGTGAGCTTCCTTGTTAACTGCTAGAGTTGGATAAACCCTAGATGTGATGCATGTTTTTGCTCCAGGTCCAAAACTTTCAACAACAGAATGATCAATCTGTAGTTTTGAAAAACCAGAAAAAGCAAATTAATTATCAGTAATTAATTACTGAGGATTTATATAATTGCAAATATATTAATTGAGTTTAAAAAGGGTTTTTAAAAAAACGCACCAAACTCCTGAGGGAAAGCTTCTTGTAAGAAGTCAAATCTACATCCACAAAGCCAGCAAATGATGGTTTGTACAGGTTGTTCTGCAGAGACGAACTGTCCCAAACAAAATGGAAAATACAAATGGCAAGAGTTAATTACATGGTAATTACAGTAATTAAGGTAATTAAAGTGCTTACCTTGTTGCATCAGAGCACATGAGAACTAGGTGCCTGCTGCCTTGAGCTTTAAAAATCCTGAAGAAAACAGGAGTGAATTCCTCTAGGTTTTGTGATGCTAATGTCAAAAGTCCAAAAGGCCCAAGGCCACCTTGAATTTTTGAACCCTTTAGGCCACACAGTCTTTGGGCATCGAGGCTGGTCCAGCTAGGGTCAAAATCTTCGGCTTTGTCCAAGCTAGGGATTGTGAAGAGAACATCAACATCGGCCTGTGTGGTCCAAGTCCAACAACATAAGTTAATGCAAATCAATAATTCACAAAATAATTCAGTTCAGAAAAGTTAATTTGTATTGCAACATGCGTGGATGTTGAGAGGGTCAAACCTGAGCCGCAGTTATTCCTTTAACTTCAACATAATCTCCTAGTTTGAGCTTTTGAATGTTCAACTCGACCTTTTGCCCTCTTAGAGTTTCTAGTTCTTCAATAGGCCATTGCAATAATTGTTTCCCATCTGGACTGAGCCACACCACCCTTGGTATTGTCTGTACAATTAATACCCCCAAAAAAAATGCTCAACAAGAGAGTAATATTACGCTTAACATATTTACTAATCACATTACTAATCGCTAGAAATCAGTACATTAAAAAAATGCAATCAGCAATGTAATCAGTACAAATATTATTATACAGTTATTACCTGAATTCCGGCCCATCCCTTAGCAACATCTTCTTGAGATGTATCAGACTCATTGGCCCACCCCCACAAAATTCTCCTACTCTTTGCAGGATCAAAGAAACTCTTGGATGCATAAAAGTTGCCATAGTCATATCTCAACCCAGACCAACCATCCACCAAGGCTTTATCAGGAACATACCTATCTTTCTCAGGAAAATATTTTCCGAGTGTGTAATATTCATACCTAGTCTCATCAAGGCTCACTTTCATGACATGCTTCACATCCGCACCAAAATTTGATGTGTCCAACCCGAATTTGCCATCCGATGGAACCGGGTAAAAATCCGGGCATTCCCACATACCCGTATGGGGAGCCGAGTGAAATGGGTGATGGGCCTTGACCCAATGCATGAAGTCCTTGCTCCTATACAAATGGGCCACTCCCCTATGCTTCCTTTTGCCACCCACCAACATCTTCCAATGCCCATCGATCCACCAAGCTGTTGTCGGGTCACGGAATGCGGTTGCGTTCATACCGGCATCTGGGACCACTAGAGGGTTGTTATCGGGCTTGATCCATTCGCGGAGGTACAGGTCGGATGAGTTTGCCGGGATGGCGTAGTTTTGGACCTGGCGGTTTTGGGGGTCGATTCCAGTGTAGAGGATAATGGGCTTGTTGCCAGGGAGAATAGTGGCGGAGCCGGACCAACATCCATTTATGTCAAAGGGCTTGGATGGGTATATTGCAGGCTCAAGGGCCTCCCAATTGATCAGATCCTTGGACACTGAATGGGCCCAAACAATGTTGCCCCAAACCGCACCTTTGGGATTGTACTGATAGAACAAGTGGTACAGACCGCCAAAGTACATGGGTCCTATTTGCATTCAGAAAATAGTAAATTAAGAGAGTGATTAAGGAATTAATTTAGACTATAATTGGTAATAGAAATAAAGGGTTGCAAAATTTGAACGTTGGGAAAGAGAGACTCACCATTAGGGTCTGTGGTTGATTGGTTCATGGGCCACCATTGAAAGGACGAAGTACAATATAAAAAAAAGTCAGTGACTCTGCTAACTAGAAGAGGATTTAGGAATGAATATAACACTTGTTCTGTAAACATAGAAAGGTCATTCATTATTTGCCAACGGATCTAGCCTAGTGGAAAGGGCCTTGACCACTGTGACAGTGTGTGTAGGAAACTCCTCTTCCTCAATATCTCTTATGTAAATATAAAAATAAAAAGATCCGTAATATAATTTTATATTTAAGATATAATATTTTACTATGCTGTGATGATTTAACTGTTGATTTTCGTAACTTCAGAAAGAATAACCATAATGAGTTTTGACTGAGGCAGATCTGGAACATATATCAGATGAAATTTACAGAATGATATGACACCAAAACCTGAAGCCTGTTATCATAACTGACCAAAACTAGCTATTTTCCAGGACACAGTAATCAATGGCCGAAAGAAAAAAACAAACCACCGCACCCATTTATTTTTATTTTTATTTTTATTTCTGCTGTAGGTTACTAAAAAGTAGAGAGCTATAATGAAAATGTGACATGGTCTCACAGATAAATGACTAGGATGTTGATTTTCTGAGGACCATTCAAGAACCAATAGGGTAGCTAGGCATGCCAAGATGGTGGTCCATGCACCGCAATATTTAAATTGAATCATTGATATCCATCCATATTTACTAATTAGATATGTATGTCTGTAAAGTGCAAATAAGTTGGTAGCAACCCATCAAAAATGCAATGAACGCCTAAAAGATTAACCCAACTAAAATAGAAATACAGGTACCAATGTCTAATACCTAATTATGAACGACACTCCGAAAAATTCATTATGTATGAAAAAATTACATTTCACTAAATACATATATAATGACTTTTTCAGAATGCGAATAACAACTATTAAAATTCCGAAAGAAAGAAATTTAAAATCGAAGTAAATAAAATCCCCGATCCAGTGGATGGTTAAAGTGTCGAACTAGTGCTCTTGGTAAAAAGGGTTAAAGCACTTAAATTCACATACTCTGATAATGGCATCCATATTGAGCAAAACAATACAAACCCTTTTATTATTCTTCAATTTTGTAATTCCCACTAGCTACCAAAAAAGAAAGGAAAGATAAAAGCCTAGAGAGCTTAAACACTATGGCAAAAGATTAATGCCTGTAAACGTCTCTTCATAATCGCATGCTTGCTTGGTTTCTTCTTTTTTGGAAAGTGCTTGCTTGGCTCGATGTTTATAAGTAACCGTGTAATTAAGGAAGTTATACGACATGCAATATTGTGCAGATGAAAGAAACAAAAACCAAACTTGAAGATCATCATCATCTTAGAAAGTTTGTAGAATTGATTAAACAAAGTAGTACCAACCGTTAATCCAGTTGCTTGGAGGTCGAAAGTGAAACGCAGTTCTGTGGACTTGGTTGACCTTGACGGCAGCAAGAGACTGAAACTCGGGGTAAGCGTTGTGTGATGCTTCGACGGCGTCATTTTTTATCACAAAAACACAACAACAAGCAAGTAAAAGAACTTGAAGGAACTTTTTTAAAGTATCCATTAAAACACAAGTGGCAGATTAATAATAGCAGAGAAGGGAAGAAGGGCTTGATATAATAACATAGAGAGAAAGAAAGGATAGTGGGGGAGAGTCTAGTGATATCAAATCAAGGTTTGGCTTGGCTTATCATGTTTATATATAGTGTGAGGCTCAGAGAGAGAGAGAGAGAGAGAGAGGTGGAAGGAAGTTTAATAAAGAAAGTGATGCTGCAAGATGTCGAGAATAATAAGGATTGGATTAAGGATAACTTTGTTATTAATCGAGCGGTTAGTTATGGGAATTTAAAAGACAAATAAAAGTTAAAGGGACTTCGTGGGTAAAAGTTTACACTCCAAAGAGGCCATGTGTTCATGGGTCCAAGTCCTTAAGTTGATAAAGTGTTAATTAGCACACTCAAATGTTGCCAGATTATTTCAATCTTCAGAGTTCTCAAATAAATAATCGATGGTGTTTATTCATGTCTTCTCCTGCGTTTATTTCACATACAAAATTATTCAATATGTAAGTTCATCTAAAAATCTTTAATCAAAATACCCCAAGGAATGGGATGTGATTCTCATTCTTTATTTATGATATTCCATCTTTTCCTATACTGATTGATGGTAAGTAAATATATGAATTTTTATCCAAAATAAATCATCAACTAAACTAAAAGAGCTACAATTGGTAAAATATCAATACACTTGAAAAGTATTTTCAACATTGAAAAATAAAATATGTTGTGAAAACCCTAGCCACTAAGAGAAAGAGAAAAAGAGTGGGAATGCTTTAGGATCTCATCGGATCTCAGGTGTTCTTTAACTTTTTATGGACCTATGTCGATCTACTCTTCTTTTGGCATATCTATTGTCTCATATCTGGGCTAGCTTTGGTTGTGATCTTGTGAGATTGCTCTTTGAGGTGTTGTAGCTTGATCATGCTAGATCCACTACTCAGTAGTGCGTTGAGGCCCTGAAGTAACTAGGTGGCGCTCTCTATGTCATCACCGAAGGAAGATTAATTAGTGGTGCGGTTGGTTTTCCTTTTGCCAATATTGTTTTAGTTTTTTGTATTAATTTAGTTTAGTTTGTTCAATAAATTCCAGAAACTCTGTGAGTTTTATATATTTTTTCTCTCATGATTCCAGAAACGTAGTTGAATTCATTGGGTGTTCTTAGTCTCTTTAAGAAAGTCATGTTGGTTAGCGACTAGTTTTTGTCTTTGATGTCATTAGACTAGATTCACAGAAATTATGGCTGTTGAAAGGGGTTTTAGAAAAGTTTTTTTCAAGTGTTATTCTCTCCAGATTGTTTCAACTTTTCGGCTCACTAGTGTCACTGGGAAGTTTTATCCATGGTTGCCAAATTGATATTGGGATGGCTTCCATTATAGTCTATGTCCTTCGTACTCTTTATTTTTATTGATCTAATAAAATTCTTTCGCTTTTTTTATCAAAAAACTATTGAAAAGTAAAATATCACTAAACTAAAAGAGCTATAGTTGGTAAAATATCAATAGCCTTTATCTAGTGGTACCTCTCTTACTAAAGTTAGAAGATATCCCAAATTTGAATCCTCCTATACCACTGATGATTTTTAATTTTGGTTACAAAGCTCAAATTGAAGTGACTCTAAATCGATTTGAATAGTTTAAATCATTTCAAACAATAAAGGTGGACCCAAAGAACCCTATTCGATGATGATGTGGTGGAATATAATACAGAATCAAATTGTAACAAGTTCTGGATATTGTACATTCTCATGGGCATTTTTGGGTCGGCATTAGATCAGATTTGAAGAGTTTTCCAAAGAAATAAAGCCGTAGCTGCCTTTCTTCTTTCTATTTTTGTCCCAGCTCTCCTTTGATTTGTGGTGTTTTCATATTTATGTGGGTATAGGAATACTCTCTCCACTTCTAGGACATTAAGGTGGTTCATGTTCAAACTCGAGATCAAAAGAGTAGTGATTTTAGTTAGTGAGATTTCCAACCCACTTTTAAGAGATTATGTAGGGCAGAATAGTTATTAAGTGCAGCTCATTTTGAAATGAGAGCCCCAAAGGACTCATGGCATCCAACAATTTTTTCAAGACAATTACGTGCAGCCATCAATCCCGCGCTTTAATGGTCATTATGATAATTGGAGCATGTTAATGGAGAACTTTCTGAGATCCAAAGATTGAAACTGGAATTGATGAACCATAACCAGAAGCAGGAGTAGTGTTGACGGAAGCACAGAGAAAGAATCTAGAAGATCAAAACCTGTTTTTTAAAATGTTTTAACTGAGGATGAACTAAACCTTAAGAACAACTGCAACATTATTTTCTCTTCAAAATTGAAACCTTAAGCCTGTCTATAAAATGTGGTAAAAAAGGTTATACACAAGAATTTGTCATCGAACTGGTTTGTTTTCTTCTACCTATGATAATGTTTGGTGGGACTAATTGATATGTGATGGATACTGTCTCTTGTTTTCCAGTTTGGGGTTCTTGACAATTCTCATCTAATCTCCACATTGCAAAGATAATTTTAACTAAAGTCTGCATATGCTTTCATATTTATTGTGTTCTGTACCTTCATGCTCATTACTTATCTTCCACTCCAAACCCATGCTTCCTTGGGACAAGAAGACTTTTATGTCGGATACCGCATGGGACAACTTCTCCAATTCACCACATCTGTGAAGTCTCTTCTATCAATTCTTCTATGTAAACAAGAGAACGTTTTATTCGTATGTATATGTTTGGTAACTTGAGGAGAGCAGAGACAATAGATTGGTTTTCAATCAAATGTGCTTAGCAGATGAAAAGACAAACATTTCATTTGGGCCCTTCACGAGGTGTTGGCAAGGCTTTTAACTCTAAAGGGTAATGTGAAGTGAGAGTTTAGCTCAAGTGAAGTGATTAGACTGCATATTTTCTTCATCACGGGAATTGGTGTGGAAAGAAATGAACAGAATTTTCCAAATCATACAAATATGCTAATGGCTATATTCTCCTCCTCAAATAACACTATTTGAGATCCCTCAACTGAAGGTGACTATATACATACAGTCCCGAGCAATTTGATTTCATAAAACAGCTCAAAAGAATGAAATCCATAATAAAAACATCTCAATATTCTGTTTTGTGACATATAAACTGCACTAATAATTAGGGTAAGTACAAACTTGATTTCATAGAAATGAGGAGACAAACAAGGCAGTGAAGGACTTAGGGTATGGGAAATCCAAGAAGCAGGGTCTGTAGTTGACATGGGGAAGGATCATGAACAATTGGCAGAGTGAGCATGAAGACGGTCGAGAACAATTTAAGGAGGCTTTGTACAAATAGATCACTGTCTGATTTGTTTGAAGGACACTCAGAGTATTGGACAAGTTAGCATCAGTTTGTCCATCTTGTTTTTCAAGACTGTTGAATCTTGGACCTATGGGTTTAATCACTAAATATGTTTGAGAAAG